GAATAAAGCAGGGCATATTTAGGATCAGATGACTGCAGGTTTTTTTTTCTTTTCAGAGGGTGCAACGGAAAGATTTTCAGAGGTTGCTAAGGGGTGGGTTTGTACTGAAGGTTGGTTTAGGATTGAAGTCAACGTGTTTGAAAAGGTAGGCAAATGAGGAAGATTCAGGACAGGCAAAAGAAAATAATGTCACACAGCGCATAGTTAAACTCTGGAATTTGCCCCCGCAAGAGGCAAGGATGGCCAGCTTGTATGGCTTTAAAAGAGGATTAAACAAATTATTATTATTATTATTAAAAATTGTATACCGCCCATCAACTGTAGATCTCAGGGTGGTTCACAACATACAATATAAAAAAGACAAAATACATAATAAAAGTAAGAACAAAAACAAATCCGTAACACCCCCTCCCACAACACATTTAAAAGGGCAATGGATGTAAATCAGCCAAGGGCTTAGTTGAAGAGGAACATTTTTGCCTGGTGCCTAAAGATATATACCGCATATTTTTGTCCTGGGAGCATCTTTAAACCTCTTTTGTTGTCCACAAGTATTTCCTTTCCTCCACAGTCACTTATGGACACACCATTCAGACCTTGTTCTTGGAAGACAATCTTACTCAGCTACGAGTGATAGCCAAAGAAGAAGAATAAAGATTTATAATGAAGGCGCCAGGCAAGCCTCCCTGGAGAGAGCATTCCACAAAAGGGGAGCCACTGCAGAAAAGGCCTGTTGTCATGCTGCCACCCTCCAGACCTCTCATGGAGAAGGCACACAAAGAAGGGCCTCAGAGGATGATCTCAGGGTCCACGCAGATTCATATGGAAAGATATGGTCTTTGAGGTATTGTGGTCCAGAGCCAGATAAGGCTATCAGTGTCTATAAACCCTGATGGCTTTGTTTCTACCTACACTGTGTAGCAGGAAACCCGCCCCCCCCAATCATTCAGTTTGTACAAACTTCACTCACACTCACACACTACATACGCTACGCTTCTGTTATAAATTCATAGAAAATCAACCATACATCGGATTTGCACTGTTCCACTTTTATTTTACTCCATGAAGGAAAGACTACAAAATGGGGAAGGTTTGATACAGGGCAGCCATAATCCCTTCACCATCCCAGGACATCCACAGGAGCCCTGCCCAGTTGCTATGCAAACCCTGATGGTCCTAGACAGAAGACCATCAAGATCACAAAGAACTTGCATATGGGAGTGGATTCAGCACGGACTGGAACAAAGGACAATAATCAGCTCTTCCCTCTGGGGGCAGGAAACTGCAAACTCCCCTCTGTCACCTGGAAAGTACTCATGGGGAGGGGGAAAGGGGGAACCAGCCAGGTGACAGGACACTCAGGTTACCACCACAACTCCTCCCTCAACCCCTCCTTTCTGTGATGTACGCATGATGTTTCTGGGGGTGGGCTTGACCTACAGGATGGGAATTTCAAAAGTTTTTATAAGGCCTTGCACACCATTTTTCTGTGTCTTTCCTCTCTCCTGCAAGTGAGGGGAGCACCCTGTTGCAACAGTTCAATAAAGGCCAAGCCTACAGGCTGCTGTTTTGCTCCAAGTTATCCTGGTTGGTGTCTTTACTTTTTGTCCAAGGGAGCCCTCGGATTTTTCCGGTAACAACTGTCAGAGGCAATGTGCTTCTGAATACCAGTTGCTGGAAACCACACGAGGGGAAAGTGCTCTTGTGCCCAGATCCTGCTTTCTGTAGGTACCTGGCTGGCCCGATCCAGCAGGATCTTCCTATGTGGAACTGAAAATCACCATGGTTGACACCTCTCCCTGCCTCTTTATTCGTTAATCCTACCTTAAATGAATAATTTAAAATTTCATAAAAAAACATAGGTAGGTTGCAATATTTTAACAGGCATTTCGGAAACTGGTTATAAAAACACCATAATTTAATAACACAAGGAGAGGCTGCTGGATCAGACCAATGCCCCATCTAGTCCAGACCATGTATTCTTCTGTTGTGTAGAAATACAGTGGTACCTTGGGTTACATACGCTTCAGGTTACACTCTCCACTAACCCAGAAATAAGTGTTTCAGGTTAAGAACTTTGCTTCAGGATAAGAACAGAAATTGGGCTCCGGTGGCGTGGCAGCAGCAGGAGGCCCCATTAGCTAAAGTGGTGCTTCAGGTTAAGAACAGTTTCAGGTTAAGAACGGACCTCCGGAACGAATTAAGTACTTAACCTGAGGTACCACTGTACTGCAAATTTTGTTGATTTACTCCTTTCACATTCATACCCTCATGCAAGGTCATCATGTCCCTTCCTTGGTTGTTGTGGTTTTCCTAAACTAAAAACAACCCACCTTAGGCTCCCCACCCATATTAACACTTGCATTCCATACATCAATATGTTAATTCATATCTTGTCATATGGAAGATGATACAAGCCCTGGATAAGTATCCTTGTGCCTTTTCCAGCTCTGTGATACCATTAAAAAAAAAAAAGTGCCTAGAACTATCCACACAATTCCAAAGGTGACCATATATTTATTTTTTTTAATTGGCATTCTTATATTTCCCATTAATTTTCAATACTTTTAATAATACGTAATTCCTAGCATGGATTTTGCCACATCCACTATTGAAACACAGTGCTCTGAGTTATCCACTGTTCTCAAGACCTCTTCCCTGACATTTCATAGCCATTTCAGACCCCATCAGTTTTTATGTGATTCCCCGCATGCATCAATTTGCAGTTACCGACACTGGAATCTCATTTGCCATTTTGTTGCCGAATAATCGAGGCTAGAGAGAGCCTTCTGGAGCTTTTCATCATTAAAATGGCAGCCAGGGCTCGAGATCCGAAAGTGTGAGCCTCATTGGCTAGATAAACCTAACTTACACACGTTTCTATGGCCACCTCATTTCCATATTCTCTTTGACCCTGGGTATCATGCAGCTGTATGCCAGAGATGTATACTTTTCTATTGCACGGAACTACTATTTTATGCTTTGAATTTACAAGCATGATTGCTATCTTCAGACAGTATAAACAGAAAGCAAGTATTTTCAGAAATGCCTCAAGCTCTGCTGTTAACAATAATGCAGAGCTCTGAATAGTTTAAGAGCAGTTTTTGAATAGATGAAGCTGAATGTTTCGGAAACCTATTATTGCTGGGGGCACCACATTTTTTGTTTAAAAAAGGAAATGGTTTAAATTCCCCCCTCTTCTCCCAACAAGCTTCTACTAAGCCACTGGGAAAATGGCAATACCTTCAGTGATAAATATTTCACAGGCTATGAATCAGTACAAAATCCATCTGTCAAGTTTTCACCACATCTTGGTTGCCGTTGGCATGAAAAAGGCGCTGTTGGTTCCTCCGGACTCGTATAACGGAGAGCTTCACATCCTGAGCTGAAAATCCCATCTGCAGAGCTTGCAACCCTAACTTCTTCCTTCTTGTTAAGTGGGAGGAATACCGATTGATAGTATTCGAAATAGCACGGCCACCTGGCATTTCCTGGCATTCAAGCTGGAGAACAAACGGAGCGATCCAAATCTGAGAACTGTGAAGGAAACACAACCCTCCCATTGAAGAGAATTTCCAGTGCTGCTGGTTATCAGCAGGGCAAAACTGTTCACACATTTCTGCACTCGACAGCTTGCTGCTTTAGCTCAACTCACACCAGAGCCATCAATGCCACCTTCCATTTAGGAAGTTTTTCAACCAGCCTACAAGATGTGATGATTCTGAGCTGCATTCTAGGCAAACACCTTCTTTTCATTAATAATTCCTATTACAGCGACTAGGAAATAAACACCACTACCAACATCTCATCTCAGGGATGATTCACACCCTGGCCGGCACTTTCTTGATCTTGTGCCCTCGGGCAGAAGATATAGAAGCATGATTAGTCGCACCAACAGGGTAAAGAACAGCTTCTATCCGTGGGCTGTTAGGCTGCTGAATGAAAAGATAACAACAGGGCAACTGACTTTCGGTGGGTGTGCGTCAGTAAACGAGGGGAATTAAGACTAAGAGAGCTGAGTGGGGGGTGCTCGTGTAATCTCACTGTATACAGTGGTACCTTGGGTTACATACGCTTCAGGTTACATACGCTTCAGGTTACACACTCCACTAAGCCAGAAATAGTGCTTCAGGTTAAGAACTTTGCTTCAGGATAAGAACAGAAATTGGGCTCTGGCGGCGCAGCGGCAGCAGGAGGCCCCATTAGCTAAAGTGGTGCTTCAGGTTAAGAACAGTTTCAGGTTAAGTACGGACCTCCGGAACGAATTAAGTACTTAACCCGAGGTACCACTGTATACGTTGTACAAGTGACAATAAAGTATTTCAATTTCAAATTTCTTTGCATGCTACAATTCCAGGACTCGCAAGGAATTAACACTCAACCGTGCCCAGGGATCAGACTGCAAATTACTTGATATTACTTTCCACCTACGGTTATCTTGTCATACTTTCAATTGGAAGGCTTCCTCTAAAATGCTATTTTGGCAAGCTTCCTGAGTGCTAGTGCCTCTAGCCCCCGAAACTAATTTTAACATATCACAAAATCAACCTAGGAAGGTAGGCATGAGTAAATTCAAATACACCATGAGCCAGAATCATTTATCCATTATTCTCTCCTTGATAAGGAAATGTCAACCCCATATCTTTCAATAGCCACCCATCTGGATAGTACCAATAGTGACAATGTGCCTGTGTGCCATCTTCCTTTAGCAGTGAACCAAGCTGTTCCTTTGAGACGCATTTCCCCCTCCCTCTCGATATCTCTACAAGTACAATGGGAAGCCAGATTGCACAGCTTGAGCTGATTCTGCAACCATCCCTGTACACTACATAGATGGTCCACTCTGGGCCTTTGTGCATCCAAACCAAAAGAACCTCTTTCCAGAGTGCTGTGAGAATAAGCACCACTTCATTCTGGTAGACCGATGCCAGCAATTAGCCTGCAAAAATCTGGTGAGTCTGCTAGTCTGTAAACCACCACCTACTCATTAGTTTGCTGCATCTTGGGTAGCTCAGTCAGCAGAGCATAAGACTCTTCATATCAGGGTTGTGGGTTTGAGCCCCACGTTGGGCAAAAGATTCCTGCATTGCAGGGGGTTGGATCAGGGATGTCCAACCAGTAAAATTTTGGGAAATGATATACAATGAACTGAAAAAAAAAAGTTTAAAATGACATTTGTAAAAAAAACCAGAAGCATTTTTGTTAGGGATTGTAGGACAAGACCCGCCAAGAAAAACAAAGAATTTATTTATGCATGCTACAACAGCGGCAAGAATCTTGATAGCACAAGGATGGATGAATGAAGAAATCCCAACAAAAGAACAGTGGCAAGAAAAATTGATGAGCTATGTAGAGTTGGCGGGACAAGGACAACTGTGACTTTAAGGAAGAATGGGAGCTTTTTACAAATTATCTAAAAAGACAGCAAAATGAACTGGACTCCTTGGCAGGTTTTGAATAAACAAATTTATTGGCTGATAACATGATAGATAGATAAGGTAAGGATATGTATAACTTTATAACATGCAGAGAATAATATGTGTAGAGAAATCAGAGAGAGGAGCTGAGGGAAGTCCCTGGTGGGAGGGGGGAGGGAGGGAGGGATGGAAGGGGGGTAGGAAAAAGGGGGGAAATAATGTATGTGATTATACGGTTTGATAATTTGTTATGCTAAAATTGTTTATATTTTTTTTAAAAAAGGGATGTCTAACCAGTAGATTGTGATCTACTGGTAGATCCCCAGCTGATTCTGGTAGATCGCGGGGACCTTATCATGTACAAAAAATTATGGGAAAAAGCTAAAAAACTCTGTGCAATCCTCCCCCCCCCAAAAAAGCTGAACAATTCTGGGCAATCCACACACCCCCATGCACACTCCTCCTCCCTCCAATGACAATGGGTAGATCACTGCCAGTTTTTTTATACTGGGAGTAGATCACAGTCTCTTGGGAGTTGGTCCTGCCTGGACTAGATGATGACCCTCATGGTCCCTTCCAACTCTGTTGTTGTTTAGTCGTTTAGTCGTGTCCGACTCTTCTTGACCCCATGGACCAGAGCACGCCAGGCACTCCTGTCTTCCACTGCCTCCCGCAGTTTGGTCAAACTCATGCTGGTAGCTTCGAGAACACTGTCCAACCATCTCGTCCTCTGTCGTCCCCTTCTCCTTGTGCCCTCCATCTTTCCCAACATCAGGGTCTTTTCCAAGGAGTCTTCTCTTCTCATGAGGTGACCAAAGTATTGGAGCCTCAGCTTCAGGATCTGTCCTTCCAGTGAGCACTCAGGGCTGATTTCCTTCAGAATGGAGAGGTTTGATCTTCTTGCAGTCCATGGGACTCTCAAGAGTCTCCTCCATTCAAAAGCACCAATTCTTTGGCGATCAGCCTTCTTTATGGTCCAGCTCTCACTTCCATACATCACTACTGGGAAAACCATAGCTTTAACTATACGGACCTTTGTTGGCAAGGTGATGTCTCTGCTTTTTAGGATGCTATCTAGGTTTGTCATTGCTTTTCTCCCAAGAAGCAGGTGTCTTTTAATTTCACGACTGCTGTCACCATCTGCAGTGATCATGGAGCCCAAGAAAGTAAAATCTCTCGCTGCCCTTCCAACTCTACAATTCTATTATCTCTGGAATGCAAGCATGTGGTCAACAACACTGTGGCTGAATGGGGACTAATTCAGCTACAGGCCAGTCAATGCACAGAAATGTGATTCTAGTCCTCATGGTTACAAAAACAAAACAAAACTCTGAAAAGCCTGCAAACAGTGACCATATGATCTAAAGACCTGGAAGTGAAAAAGATTGACAAGCAATGTCCTTTGACTGTGTTGCATTTCACATTTCTATTGTAAGCTGCACTGTGAGGGTTTGCCCTGAAAATGCGGTTGGAGCTAAAGTAAAACAAAGGTTCACTTAAAAGCCAATAACACCTAAATAAAATGTCATTTGTTCCATTGGTGTCAGACACACAATATTTCAACTTTTGGAGCTGCTGTCCTATGGAAGTGAATGCATTACATGAAACGCAAATTGTGGTCTGAAGTTTTCTGTCAATCACAGAATCCACTCAGCAAGATTTGGTTGAAATGCCTGCTGGGAAGAGTGCTAATGCCTCACAATCTTGAGCTGCTAATGAGAGTTTCTTTTGTTGCTTCTAGGAAGAAACACAGGGCTCATGTCGTTAATGAAAACGCATTAAATAGCGTCAATCTTTTGCACTGGCAACCCACCACTACTGAAAGCCACGACTGGGGCAACCCACACACTTTCCTGTTGCTTTCGTTCTTTCAGGAGTCCCATGTTTCCCACCTGGTTTGTCATCACAGTGTGAAAAGAGCAACAATTAATCCCCCCATTTCCTAGGAAACAACAGTTCTACCAAGTACCAATTCTGATGGCTTTAAATAACCCCAAACGTTGAGTCTTTGAGAATCCAATCTGCAGCAGAACTGCAAACTTTACAAAAGTTTTAGTTCCTTTCTGGATTTATGATCCAGATTGGAGTGTGGAATTCATGACTTTTTAGTTAGGATTTTAAAAGATGCTTTAAAGGTTTGATCACTTTAACAAAAAGTCCCTTCTCATAACATCAGAAGTCAACATCTCTTCTCAAAGTATCCTGTTGACTGTGACACCCCACAAGGAAGGCATTGAGGAACATAGTTGCCTGATTCCACATGGTGTGTCAAGGGGGAGAAACGGAGCCATTTAATCTACACCTTTTAGAGTTGCTTCCCATAAGCTCAGCAATGTGCTAGATATTTGAACCCGTACAAAGCCTGAGACAATGATAACTTTATCTGATTCGGATACCGTGACAGAACCCAGGCGTACCTTTCTCCCAAGAGTCACCTCGGACAAATAGGATGTTGATGGACAAAGTCTGTCTTTGTCTCTGATGATGGAAACTCTGCTTACCATCTTCCAATGATAGAAAAACCCAGGAGCAGCCCATTCATTCTAAATATCAGGAAGAACTTTCTGACAGTAAGAGCTTTTTGACCAACTCCCTCAGGAGGTTGTGGACTCTCCTTCATCGGAGGTTTTTTAAGCAGCGGTTGGATGTCTATCTCTCTTGGATGCTGTACTTGAGATTCCTGCACTGAAGGGGGTTGGACTAGATCAGGCTTCCTAAAACTTGGCCCTCCAGATGTTTTGAAACTACAACTCCCATCATCCCTGACCACTAGTCCTGCTAGCTAGGGAGCAGGGGAGTTGTAGGCCAAAAACATCTGGAGGGCCAAGGTTGAGGAAGCCTGAATTAGATTATTCCCATGGTCCTTTCCAACTTCAATTCCATGATTCTAGGAAATTAGGTTAGGCTCAAATGGTCCATTATTATTATGCTAATTGAATATCTATGTACCTTGGTTGTCGAACAGAATCCATTCCGGGAGTCCGTTCGACTTCCAAAAACGTTCGACAACCAAGGCTTCCTGCACTCAATCGGAAGCAGCGTCAGACGCTCGGCTTCCAAAGAACATTTGCAAAACAGAACTCTCACTTCTGGGTTTGCAGCGTTCAGGGGCCAAAACGTTTGAGTCGTGAGTTGTTCCGAGATCCAAGGTACGACTGTACACAGTTCTTGCTGCCTATACAGTGGTACCTCGGGTTAAGTACTTAATTCGTTCCGGAGGTCCGTACTTAAACTGAAACTGTTCTTAACCTGAAGCACCACTTTAGCTAATGGGGCCTCCCGCTGCCACCGCGCCGCCATCGTGTGATTTCTGTTCTCATCCTGAAGCAAAGTTCTTAACCTGAGGTACTATTTCTGGGTTAGTGGAGTCTGAAACCTGAAGCGTATGTAACCTGAGGTACCACTGTATTGGGTAGTTTTGTCTTCCAATGGCAGAACCCAGGCATAGCCCGTAGGAGAGGGGTGAGGAACCTGTGCCCCTTCAGAGTCTGTTGGGCTGCAACTCCCATTATCCCTGACTATTGGCAATACTGGCCAGGGCTGATAGAAGGAGGTTGCTGGAGTGTTTTGCCTGTTACAACCCCTCCCCTTAGCCCAGGCATGGCCAAACTTGGCCTTCCAGATGTTTTGAGACTACAACTCCCATCATCTCTAGCTAACAGGACCAGTGGTCAAGGATGATGGGAACTGTAGTCCCAAAACATCCGGAGGGCCGAGTTTGCCTATGCCTGCCTTAGCCTATTGCTCTGGCAGTGTGCATATTGTAGCCCTCCATTGCTCTTGAGACTGTTCTGCTTCATATCCCTTTAATTCAGACACAGGCAAATTCGCCCTCCAGATGATTTGGGCCTACAACTCCCATCATCCCTGACCACTGGTCATGTTAGCTAGGGATGATGGGAGTTGTAGTCCCAAAACATCTGGAGGGCCAAGTTTGCCGATGCCTGCCTTAAATTCCTCCTCTGTGTCCAACTCAAAATCAAAATCACCTTTGAAAAAATGGGTCCCATGTACCAGTTGAGCTGAACGGGATGGTTTCTGTTCCTTTAAAGCTGTCAGTTGCTCCTCTAAAATTTGTGCACGGTTTGACTTGCAATGCATTCCTGGCAGGGGGCAGCAACCAACAAAGCATTTTCCAACCATTCTACACCAGCCATATCTGGATCTCCCTGCATAATATTATTTTGTACTCACAAAAAAACCAAACAGAGTTTACCCTGCATGTGCTTCAGGAAGAAAACTGACCTTTGTTGGTTGGGAATTTAGTACAGTATGCAAAGTGCGACCTTTGAGTCCCCAGGATGCCTAGAATACTCTTTGGGTGTTAGTTAAGGTTATTTATTTGGTATTGCTTCTAAATTTATCTGATGTTCTCCGCTTCCTCTCAACTCAGCTCTGATTTCTGCTAGAAACATTCCCTAATTTTATCTTCGGATAGTACCTGATTAAATAATGTCAACTAATCATATGCCTTTCTTAAATTAGTCAATTAAATCTGCATACATTTGTGTGTGTGGCATTTTCAGAATTAAGGAAAACACATCCTTTTTTAAATGCTGGGAATTACGTAGCAAAGCATTTTCTCCTGCATATGAGAGAGAAGGGCAAGTCCCCCACATACTTTTTTAAATTCTTATTTTAAAAAAGCAACAGCTGCCAAATTAGTTGGGTGCTATTCTAGTTAATTGGATTATTCATCCATTACTCCCTTACTACTTCCTTACCTAGTATCCAAGACCCTAAGGATGAGGTAGCTTATGCCAACCGTGACTGAGCTAGCCCTCTTCCCAGGTTCCATAGCGGATTATTCTGTATAGCCTTCTCCACGATTTTTCCCAACCCTCTTTTAACGCCATCCAAGTTGCTGGCCATCCCTGCCTCCTGTGGGAGTGAGTTTCATAGTCCAACTATTATTATTATTATTAAAAATAATAACCTGGCACTGAAAATAACAGAGGTGGTGTCAGTCAAAGCTGCCCTGGGAACACAGATGTGGCCAGGATTTTTGGGGGTTGGGGGGAGGCTTTATGCTTTTTTGCGGAGGGGGGCAGAACCTCAATTAGTTAAGTATTTTTATTTATTTTTATCAATAAAAATCCCTGCCCCCACCGGGCTACGCCCATGCATGGGAAGTTATCTTATATGCTCGGTACAGGAAAGGTTTTCAAAGCAGGGGCCGGAAAGGGCAGTGCTCTCCATCAAGTGGCAGGGAGTTCCAAAGGGCAGGCGCCGGCAACGCTAAACCAAGCGACCGGGTTCTTTAGCAGAATGCGGAGCGGGAGTGAACGCGGTATCCCTGTCGTAAGGGGCCCAGCCTGTATCCCTTCCCCCCTGGGCCACCTCCCATCCCTCCAGCAGAGAGCTTAGGGAGAAGTTGAAGCCTCTCCCGACTTCCTTTCTCCTCAGAGACAGAAAGGGATGGCGGTGGCGGCTGCGCTCCCGGACTAGGCGGGCGGTCGCTATCCCGCGAAGCTTGAGCCTCCCGACTTTCCGTCGCGACCTCCGCCAGCTGAGGCTGCTGGAGCCGCTCTCGCGTCTTCTCCTCGGCGCTCTCGCTGCCCTTTCCCCACCGGTGACGCTGCGCGGCGGGGGGGCGGCGGGTTGGTCTCCGGTGCCGGGTCTGGCGGTTGGACGCTTCCCTCACCATGTCTCGGGTCCTCAAGTCGGTGGATTACGAAGTGTTCGGCCGGGTGCAGGGTGATTATTTTGATTATTATTGTTGTTATTATTAATAATAATAAAGGCGGGGGAGGGGGAGTGTATTCGAATTACCAGGAGAAGAGAGGGGAAAGGGAGAGAGGGCGCATGCGCGAGGTTCCCTCAGGCTGTGGAAGCTTGCCGAGAGGGGGCGCGAGAAAAGGAGCGAATTCGCATGCGCGAGTACCGTCGCCTGAGGCGCGCGTGCGGTTTACGGGCAACGTTCGGAGTGCCTTACGCGAGCCAGAAGTGGAGCTTCCCCCCCCGGCCACGCAGGGACTCTGCTGCGCATGCGCAACGTGCAGAGAAAGCGAAAACGTGCAAGGTTGTTGCGTTGGGTATCTTAACGTCCATTGATTTCGGATTATGAGAATTCCACCCCTTCCCCCACGCGCATACACTTTCTTTCTCCTGCTTCGTTTGCTGGTTTCAGGAGGAGCATTCCCCCCCCCCAGCCTAAGACTGCAACTTTTATTGTTTTAAATGGATTAATAGGGTTGTTGTTGTTGCTGCTGTTATTAAGGAGAGGAAATGCAAGAACCTCTGCCACAAAGAACCCTTCAGCGCGTATTTCGTCAGTGAATAACGTTGCACACTGCCTGGTTGGCTAATTCTAAGTGTTGGTGCTGACCTTTAAAGCCCTAAACGGCCTCAGTCCAGTACAGTGGTACCTCGGGATGCGAACGGGATTCGTTCCGGAGCCCCGTTCACATCCGGAATAAAACGTAAGACGCAACTGTGCGTGCGCGGGTCGCGTTTCGCCGCTTCCACGCATGCGTGTGACGTCATTTTGACCGTCCGTGCAAGTGGCTCCGTTGCTTCCGGGTCGCCGCAGAGCGCAACCCGAAAATACTTATCCTGAAGAGTATTTATCCCGAGGTATGACTGTATATCTGTATATCTGAAGGAGTGTCTCCACCCCCAACGTTCTACCTGGACACTGAGGTCCAGGTGCTAAGGGCCTTCTGGCGGTTCCCTCGCTGCAAGAAGCCAAGCTACAGGGAACCAGGCAGAGAGCCTTCTCGGTAGTGGCACCCGCCCTGTGGAACGCCCTCCCAGCAGATGTCAAAGAGAAAAACAACTGCCAGACTTTTAGAAGACATCTGTAGGCAGCCCTGTTTAGGGAAGCTTTTAATGTTTGATGCATTACTGTATTTTAATATTTTTTTGGAAGCCGCCCAGAGTGGCTGGGGAAGCCCAGCCAGATGGGTGGGGTATAAATAATAAATTATTATTATTATTATTATTAACATTGGTAATGAATAAGGGAGAAGCAGAGTAACAAAATGGATCAAAGGGGGGAGGGAGATTAAAGACGAGGTGTAAACAGGAGCTGTTGTGCCTGTAGATTAAAGACATGTTTACTCACAAGCAAATCCTATTGAGTTTAAATGGGTTTGCTCCCCCATTAGTGGGTTTAGGATTACACAATCCTATAGATGCCCGCTCTGAAGTAAGCCTCATTGAGTTCAATGGGACACTCCCAGTCAGTGTGCATAGGATTGCATTCTAAGGGTGGCGCCAGATGATAAGGGCATTTCACCGTTGTGGAGCCACTACTGAAAATTTATTTACTTTTATGTTTCTTACATTTAAATTCTGCCTTTCTTCCATCATGGGACCTCCCAAGGCATGTGGTTCTCAGGCAGTCTCCCATCCAGGGACAGAACAGATCTGAACCTACGGTACTTTGCTTCAGCAAAGTGGTGGAGATTATACAGTGGGAAGACATGGAAAAAATTATCTTCTGTATATAGGATCCATAGCTAAAAGGTGGCCAGGATAGAGAGTGTGTGACTAGATGTGAAGAGAATCCATAACATAGAAGTTAAGAATGTATGTACGGTGACTTTGGATCCACCATGTATAAAACAAATACTGTAACTTTATATTATAAGATGTTGCAACTTCATTGTTAAATTTATTTGCTTACATAATTCAGCTCATACTGTATATATGAGTTGGAAACCCAATCCTAATCAAGTTTACTGTGACACAGTTCATCGCGTTACATTCAACAGAGTTTCCTGCATTGCAAGTATCCTTAAATTTGCAGCTTTCATCCACAGGTGCTCAACCAAAGTTAATATGGTGTAAGATACAAGGAATGGTAACCAGTTTCATACACTGGGCAAGATACATCTAAAGAGATATTTAATCCCATTGATTTCACTGGGAAACAAAGAATATGCCATTTAAAGTAATGGGTCTGTCTGTTCCCTCGTGCTAATTGGCAGCAGGAAGCAGGATAATCAGGAAGGAGAATGGAAAAAGTGAATGCAACAGCACCAGGTAGTGGACAAAAATAATTGTGGCTGTTATGTTTCCTGCATGGTACTGACTCCATCCTTTTCCCCCAGCTGCAGAAAACAGGCTAGTCAAAAGAAAATCTTTAAAAATGACATTCTCTGGTCTCAGTTCAGCTCTTGTTGCATATAACTATTCAATTATGTTTATTTTATATATCCTGGCTCAATGAGACTTTCAGGGCAGCTGATACACACACACACACACACAAATCACAAATAAAACCACACAAATGCTGGCAAAAATAAATTCTATAAGATTCTTGTAAAAACAAACATTTATTGACTTATTTCATTTTAGATTTACATACATGTCGCACAAACAACTTCAGCAAGTAAGCTCATTAATTCTTACCAACCAGCAAGTAAAATAACCAGCGAACTTTTAAATAATATAAAACAACTGCAACAAAACCTATAAAAGTAGATAAAAATGCCCCCTGCATACGGCTGTGTATCTTCATGAAATTCAGACACATTCATAAAGATCAGTGGCACATAGCTGAGCTTCATGATGGAAACACATACCCATTTCTACAGCAAATCTATATCTCGCTTGCTACATCAGAGGACATAGGAGTTATTCATAATCATCTGATAATTTGCAAATAGTTCTATCGAGCACAACAAAAACTTTGTGGCAAACATGCACCACTTACTATCAATGTTTCTGGCATCCTGTTTCCTGAATATACTAAAATGTTGCTGTACTAGTTTGAATAAAAACATTTATTTATTTTAATGTTCTTTTTATTCTTTCCTAGGTGTCTGTTTCAGAATGGTAAGACAACATGAAGTACATCAATCTTTCATCGCTACTGTATCATATTTCTAAGAATAAAAATAAGGCCTGTGGCCTGTACAGAGACCCCAACAGTCTATAATGCCAAGTTTTCAAAGCTAATCTGAACAGTTAAGTATTGTGTGTCTGTGGTATGTGTTTTAACGGAGATCCTTTTTTATAAAATGCAGTAGAACCCTGATTTTATGAAAACTAGTTGTATGAACAATACATTTATGAGCCATCCTACTCAACCAGATGAGAAAAAAGCACCACGGTACGTGTGCATGAACTTTAACTTTGTGCAAAGGTCTCATAGACTTAAAAGTTTTTGCCCCTTGATCTTCCCGTGGCCCATACTCTCAAACATACAGCATGGAAAGATTGCGTATGAGCAACACGCCGTTTTTCACAGTGACCAAGAAACGCAAGCGAACTGTGCTCACTTTCCAAAGCAAAATAGAGATTGTGGAAAGGTTGGAGAAAGGCGAAACAGCAACAGTGTTGGCGGAGGAGTTTGGAATTGGGAAGTCCACAATTTCGCAACTCAAGAAAAACAAAGACACTCTCCTGCATTTTGTCTCAACAATGGGGAGCGAAAATGGCAAAAAGAAGCGGAAGACGATGAAATGCGCAAAGAACTCAACGTTGGAAGATGCTCTCTATGCTTGGTTTTCCCACATGAGAAATATTGGTGAGCCGGTCTCAGGCCCACTTCTATGTGAAAAGGCCTTAGAAATGAACAGGAAATTGAATGGCAACCCTGACTTCAAGGCTAGCTCAGGATGGCTGGCGCGGTTCAAGTCTCGCCACGGGATTCACCATCTCGGTGTTCATCATGAGAAGCTTTCTGCTGATCAGCCAGCCACTCAATGCCTCAAAAAAGAATTTACAGATTTCAAAACAGAGGAGGACTCTGACGCCGAGAGCATTTACAACACTGTTGTTGTTCCTGGACCCTCACATTCGGAAGCTTACAACGCATTAGAAATAGCTCTGCAGTGGCTGGAAGATCAAGAAGAAAGTGATGTGGTACAGCTCCTGTTTTTGAAAAGCCTGAGAGATTTGGCTGCAAAGAAGATAGCGAATTCTCTCAAACAAAAATAAGATCGGAACTTTTGGCAGCAAGAAAAGACAATAATAAAAACTTGATTCTTGACATAGTCCAATGATAGATCTGTTGCTGTTGATAATGCACTGTATGAATGACTGAAAAATAAATCAGTAAGCATTTCAGTTTGTCTTTCTCACTCAAAGCACTGTAGCTGCTGTAATGCTCAAAAGCACAGTTTTCTGAACTTTATTTTATGAACTCCTATCTCCTCAATTAGTTCATAAAATCAGGTTCTACTGTAAATGTGGACACATGTTCCTGTTAAAATACAATGCCCTTGAAAACTATACAAGGCTCTATTCCTCTATTGCCTCTATTCAAAGCTTGTGGAGGACCAGTGGTCAGGGATGATGGGAATTGTAGTCCCAAAACATCTGGAGGGCCGAGTTTGCTTGTGCCTGATCTTACATCTGTGTTTAATAAGCCAGATACGAAGCAGCCTTTTGGTTTTGTACACAACTCCTTTGCTCTCTTGGTTGCACACCTGGATGCAAAGCAAAGATTGCTTGCTCACCATAGTTTCCTGTTTTGCTGAACCAGGAAACTATGGTGGGCAGTTTCTACACAAGCCAGGAACCTAAATCATCATTTAAAAAGTTGGTTTTTGAATCATGGCTTGTTTCACAGCCAGTAACCATAATTTCTTGGTTTGGATGAAACGGGAAACTCTTGAGACTTCCACACGGCATCCAGACATTCTGCAAAGCAAGATACGACTTTTGCGGGCTGCAACTCCATGTCTCTTGGTCCTCTTGAATCCTTAGGAAAGAAATTGTGCAGAAAGAAATGTGATGTTTTAAGGCTGAGCTGAATTATATGATTTCAGATACTGCATAAAATCTGTGTATCTTCTTCTTCTTTCCACCCCCCCCCCCCCCGTTACCCACAACCCTCAACCAGTATACAGAAGATAAAGCTAGGAAAATGGGAGTAGTTGGCTGGGTTAAAAATACCAGACAAGGGACGGTTACTGGCCAGGTACAGGGTCCAGAAGATAAAGTACAGGAGATGTAAGTACAGTGTTTCCTGAAATGTGTGCTGTGCTGGCTTCACTAACTTGCAGGATTGGTTAAAACGCTTCTGCCGATTAACAAAATGGTTTGGGGAAATGATATTGAAGCTCTAAACTGGACTTCCTCCAGGTCTTAAATGAAACAATTTGCTCACTTGGACTTATATTCAACCTTGCGTTAAGTAAGTAGTTTGGTCAAGCCAAGGATGTCTGTTAGCACAGTGGAGCTCCCCCAGTCCATGGCACCCCCTGTATCTGCTCTGGGGATCCTCTCAACCCTCTGGATCAGATTTGGGGATGGCGAGAAGAGGGAGAATGTTCCCATTGTGCTAGTGGTAATCTGCACACATGAAACTATTACGTTGGATACTGCCCTAGATGTGTAAATTACAGAGATTGGCTCTGTTGTCACTTCCAGATGACCAGCTTATTAAGAATTCACCCTAATTCATTTGCATGAATGTGTAGAGGAAATTAGACAACATTGGCTGTTTATCGAGCATTCATTCTGATGGGTTTCTTGGGGAGGTTTTCCAGCATTGCGTCAAATAATTATTACCCCATACTTTTCAGTGCATTTCCCTGTCACACTTCTTATTGCAAATGTCTGATTTTATTTTATTTTATTATTTATCACATTTATATACCACTTTTATCTTCCAAAAATCTCAGGGCAGTGCACATGATTCTCTTCCACATTTCATCCTCACAAAAACCCTGTGAGGTAGGTTAGGCTAAGAGATGGTGACTGGGTCATTTGCTTCATGGCCGAGTGGGGATTTGAAGCCTGCTCGCCCAGTGTTGTGCAAGAGCTCCATATCTGCCTTAATTGTACCACCTGGATTTGCTGGCATATGACTGAATCCCGCCTGAAAATAGCAATGGCTTACAAGCGTCCAGAGACAGAACAGTCCCTCGCCAAATGGTTTCCTATTAAGGGAACCAGCAAAATTGCTGCAGCTGTGGCTTCCGTTTATGGAGGTGACATGTGACTTCTGAGGACACCCACCTTCCTAAACTATCTGAAGTGTGCCCAAGCCCTCCAGAAGGAGGGGCTGTTCATAGAAGACCACCTTAGGGCTTCCATTTGCTAGCCACTGTTAAGGATTCCTATTAAGAGTCCTCCTTCCTTTGATATATGGGACGCGGGTGGCGCTGTGGGTTAAACCACATAGCCTAGAACTTGCCAATCAGAAGGACGGCAGTTCGAATCCCATGACGGGGTGAGCTCCTGTTGCTCGGTCCCTGCTCCTGCCAACCTAACCGTTCGAAAGCACATCAGAGTGCAAGTAGATAAATAGGTACCGCTCTGGTGGGAAGGTAAACGGCGTTTCCGTGCGCTGCTCTGGTTCGCCAGAAGTGGCTTAGTCATGCTGGCCACATGACCCGGAAGCTGTACACCGGCTCCCTCGGCCAATAAAGCGAAATGAGCACCACAACCCCAGAGTCGGTCACGACTGGACCTAATGGTCAGGGGTCCCTTTACCTTTTCCTTTGTTATATAGCTGTTTCCAGCTTTCTAAAGCCCAGGAGATGGGGATCTGCGGACAACTAGCCCGTGTCTCTTGGCCCCAAGCAAAGGATGGCATTCAAGGTGGAGTTGGGGTCTGCTGAGATCCCTTTTGGTTTGGGAGCTTGCTGATGACATCGTAGGCAAGCACATGTGATCTTTGATGAGAAGCTTGGACGCAATCAGCTCCACACACACCCATTTGGCCATACATCATCAGTAGCCCCAGTCGTGCCTATGGGTCAAGCCTAAGCTATAGGAGTCAGAAGAAACAATGTGCGGAGCTTTTTCATTGGAAAATATTGCAAAGCTGTTTGAAGAATGAACTGAATCTGCACCATAGGGAGAGCAGGGGTTCCATAGAGTTCTGAATTTCATAGAGTTGTTTTTGCAAATAGCCTGATGCTTTCCAGATATTTAGACTGCAACTCCCATCAACCGAGATACACATCTGTGTGATTATTTTGCATGATTTGTCCTGCTGTTTTTACTATGGATCATTGTTTACTTTGGTTGTGATAATTAATCTAGTGGGTCAAGGAACTGTGCTTGGCACAGAAGTTCCAGCCCCGAACACTGACAATTGTATTCACACACCCCTCTGACCTCATTCATCAGCTGCTGCTCACACTTTTGAACAAATCTTCAGAAAATGAGAGATAGAAACTTGGTGGGTTTTTATTAAGTTGCACCCCAAACCACATTCTGAATTTCTGCATATTTATGGCATACATGCATTCATTATATAGCAGGCATAGTCAATATGGTGTCCTCGAGAGAATATTTGACTCCAACTCCCATCATCCACAGCCAGCATGGCCAGTGTTCAGGAGTGGTGGGAGTTGTAGTCCAACAACATCAAGATGGTTCTATATGGCTATCCCCAGAGAACATCCTGGATGGCCTGGGATGGATCCTGAATAACTTGAGCAGTCCTGCTGGAAGGTGAGGGTGCAGTCCCTTTTGTTGCCGGTTCCTCTTATAACGGTGTAAAAACAGAACTCCAAACGTGGCCAGGTGCCAAGACAAAAAGGGTGAGGGCAGAGGGTGGAGACTTGTTAGTCTAGTACTTGGAAGGAAGAAGACGAGAGTACTGAGTAATGCTGGGGAAACGGAATGCAATAAATCAAAGGCATTCTAATTCTGTTGTGTAAGGCTGATTAGAGGCAATTAGTTTGGTAGAAATGCTGTGTTTCTGCCAAGATTGCTGATCGTTTCGCATAATACGTGATGAGGCTGTTAATTTATGTGTTGTTTTGATTTCGAGATAGGAATGTCATATATTTTTTTTGGTCTGGGGACGCAGATATAGAGCCAGGGATACGGTGCTTTAAAAAAAGGTGGCAGAGCAGCTTTTAAACTGATTGCATGGGGGAAGTCGAGAGGAGCTGATTCAGAACAAATCATCAGGTTGAGGGGGGAAATATTTATGATTGTTCAGGTGTGGGTGAGGTAGAACGAGACACTTAGAGGGCAGGAGCACACAGCAGCAATTCGGAGAGCCAAAGCTCTGTAGGGTAAAATGCATGTATCAAACACATTTGGAGACAGGCCCTATTTATGTGTTGATGTGCTAATGCTTGAAACTTCCAAGCCAAGATGCTTGAGTTCAAGGGTTGGGTCTTAAGAGAAGTCATAGATAGAGTGGGCATAAAGGAAACTTGGTGGATTGGAGAGAACCAGTAGGACACGGTTATCTCTGAATATAAACTGCATAGGAAGGGACAGAGAAGGGCATTCTGGAGGTGCTGTTGCTCTGTATGTCAAAGAGGAAGTTTGAAACCCCACAGAATCGCTGTGGGTGGTGATGCCAGGATCCAAGAATAATTGAGCACTGGAGGAGGCATGTTGTCCTGGCTGAAACGCTCAGGGTCACCTCGAGATGGAGAATGAAAACGAAGAAGCATCCTAAAGAGGAAATGCTGGAGTAATGGTTGAACTTCAGTTCCCTTCAGCAACCCTGGACTTATAAGTGGCACCCAGAAGCTGATGCAAGCTGTAGATGTTGTTAAACCGATATTGAGCACAGCGCTATCTGATTTAACGGGTATGTATAGAATCGTAACTGTAGAGTTGGAAGGGACCTTGATGGTTATCTAGTTCAACCCTCTGCAATGCAGGAATGTAAATGGACAGTTGCCGAGAAAATGCGAGAATGTTGATCTTCTAACAAAAATACGTACCTTGTCTCAAAGATCAGCCTCTGAGGACTGGAAAGCGATTTGGGGGATCCAGGAACTTATAGTTTGTTTAGCGTAACACCTGTTTTAGAAAAACTGATGGGAAGTATTATCAAACATAAAATTAGAAAGCTTATGGATAAACAAGTCTTGCTGAAGCTGAGCTAGCATAGCTTCTCCAAGGACCTAACTTTCTGAGCTCTAGGTGGAGCTGTTTGATGGGTAATGGTAACATGCACTACACTTCTCATTGATGTTCACCTATTTTTAGCTGCCTCCTGAGACAATCTCTTCTTTCCCTGCAACATGGGATCTTTCCTCCTACTGCGTCTTAATAGTCCCTGTGTTGCCAATCAAAAAGGGCCATTGCTCAGTGGTGGAGCATCCGCTTTGCTTGCAGGAGTTCCCAGTTTCTTTTTTTTTTTGCAAATAATTTTTTTTTATTAGTTTTATGAATAAATACAGTTAAACGTATACAAAATCCATTACATAGCTTACGCAAATCATATCCACTCCACCAATCATAAGTGTTATACAAAGTTTTTACAAATCATAGATATAATACAGGGTTATTTTAGGCTCTGCCGAGCCTTGAGCTTCCCTCCACTCCTTTGGTAAGTATCGAATAAGTTTTACAGTCACGTATTTTATCTCTTTTACCTAATAATCACTTGCTGTTAGAGTTATTCCAACCCCGCCAGTGTCGTCTGAAAATTGGTTCCCATATACTTCAAAAATTTGTTCCAATTGTCATGAAATTTCTGTTCGTCTTGATCTCTTAGTCTTCCTGTTATTCTAGCGAGCTCGGCATAATTTATCACTTTAATCTGCCAATCATTTATATTAGGTATAGCCTCCGTTTTCCAGTTTTGTGCTAACATAATTCTTGCGGCTGTTGTGGCATATAGAAATAAGATCTTATCTTCTTTTCTGATTTCTTTACCCGTCATTCCTAGCAGGAAAGCTTCGGGCTTTTGGGGGAAAGGTATATTTAAGGATTTTTTAAAGTTCATTATAGATCGACTCCCAAAAGCCTTTCACTTTGCTGCATGACCACCACATATGGTAGAAGTCGCCTTCTACCTCTCCGCATTTCCAGCATCTTTTATTTTTCAACCTATACATCTTAGCCAGCTTCACTGGCGTGTGGTACCACCTATAGATCATTTTCCACAGATTTTCTTTTAATGCCGTACACGCCGTGAACTTCATATTGGTATTCCACAATTCCAGCCACCTCTCAAAGTTGATGTTATAACCAATGTCTATCGCCCATTTAATCATAGCCTCCTCCACCTTCTCGTCTTTTGTGTGCCACTCCAGTAGAATATCATATATTCTAGACAGTATTTTATTCTTACCTTCTATAACTTCCACATTAAATTTGGATTTTTTATCTTCAAATCCTGATTTCTTTTTATCTTCCTTTAGCAAATCATTTACCTGGTGGTATTGTAACCACCCTGTAAACGAGTTTTTTATCTCTTCATACGGTCTGAGTTTTATGCCTTGATCAGTTTTCTGTGTAAGTTCTTCATAGGTGGCATTCTTCCCTTCCATGTTAATTTTTTTAACAGTTAGTACCTCTATTGGTGAAATCCACCAAGGGGTCTTCCTTTCCAATAGGTTTTTATTTCTTTCCCATGCTTGGAGTAATGGTCCTCTAAAAATATGGTTTAGAAAGCCTCTGTGTACTTTCACCTTTTCGTACCACAGGTACGAGTGCCACCCGTACGTGTTATCAAAACCCTCCAAGTCTAAGATATCCCTATTCTCCAATCTTATCCAATCTTTCAGCCACAGTATACATGCCGCTTCATAGTATATACTTAAATCCGGTAGGGAGAAGCCCCCTCTTTCTTTTTAATCTACCAGTATTTTCATTTTTATTCGCGGTCTTTTTCCCTGCCAGATATACCTCGCCAAGGCTCTTTGCCATTCTTTACACTGCTTTAACCCTTTAAGTACAGGGATGGTTTGAAATAAGAATAGCATTCTGGGGAGAACATTCATTTTAATAACCGCTATCCTCCCCAAGAAGGATAGTTTCATTCTCTCCCAGATTTCTAAATCTTCCTTAATATACTTCCAAGTAGTCTCATAGTTATCCTTGTATAAGTTAATGTTTTTAGCTGTAATCCACACTCCAAGGTACTTCACCTTCTTTGCTATCATAATTCCTGTCTTTTGTTCTAAATCTGCGGTATCTTCTTTGGTTAAATTTTTGGTTAGCATTTTAGTCTTATTCCTATTAACTTTAAGGCCTGACACAGCACCGAACTCTTCAAATTTTTGTAGGGCTTCTTTTACACTGTGTTTTGGATCTTCTAGTGTTAATACGATATCATCCGCATAAGCTTTGATTTTGTGTTCCTTAGTTCCTACCTTGACTCCTTTAACTTCTGTTGTTTCCCTCAGTTTCTTAGTAAATACTTCCAATACTGTTATAAACAACAGAGGAGACAAGGGGCATCCTTGTCTAGTCCCTTTGGATATATCAAAAAATTCTGATGTAGTATTATTTATTACCAGCTTTGCTTTTTGCTCATAATAGATAGCTTCAATGCCTTTTCTAAATCTTTCTCCCATCCCCATCATTTTCAAATTTTCTGTCAAAAAGCGCCAAGAGACATTATCGAATGCCTTTTCGGCATCAATAAATATCAATGCCGCCTGTTTATCTATTCTACTTTCCAAGTATTCAATGATGTCAATCACGTGTCTTACGTTATCCTTCAATTGTCTCCCTGGAAGGAAGCCCGTTTGGTCTTTATGTATTCTACTATTTAATACCTTTTTAAATCTTTCTGCCATAACATCCGCAAACAGTTTATAGTCATTATTTAATAGCGAAATCGGCCTGTAATTCTTCACTTCTAAGATATCTGCATCTTTTTTAGGAATTAATGTAATATAGGCTTCCTTCCATGTGTTTGGAATCCTTCCTTCTTTTATGGTATTGTTCATGACTTCACATAGAGTTGGACATAGTTGGTCGCTTAATACTTTATAATATTTGGCCGGTAAACCATCCGGCCCTGGCGCTTTTCCAATTTTCATTTTGTTTATTGCCTTCCTTATCTCATTTTCTGTAATCAGCTGATTTAATAGCTCTTTTTCTTCCTTTGCAATCTGTTGTAGATGGTGTTTTTCCAAATAACGTTCTATTTCATAATCTGTTTCCTTTCCTCTTTTATATAAGTCCTTATAGTACTTCTGAAATATCCTTTTTATTTCTTTTGGTTCTTCCACTATCCTTTCTCCCTCTCTTATCCTGCAGATCATATTTTGTTTTTTCCTTTCTCTTAATTGCCACGCCAGATATTTCCCTATTTTATTTGCTGATTCAAAGCTCTTTTGTTTCATCATTTTAATTCTCCCCTCAATCTCCTGATTTACTATCATGGTAAATTGAGCTTGTAGTATCTTTAGTTCCCAATTTCAATCTTTGGGTAAAAAAAGGTAAAGGTAAAGGACTCCTGGATGGTTAAGTCCAGTCAAAGGCTACTATAGGGTTGCGGCGCTCATCTCGCTTTCAGGCCAAGGGAGCCGATATTTGTCCACAGACAGTTTTCCAGGTCATGTGGCCAGCGTGAGTAAACCGCTTCTGGCACAATGGAACACTGTGACAGGAACCAGAGCGCACGGAAACACCATTTACCTTCCCGCCACAGTGGTACCTATTTATCTACTTGCACTGGTATGCTTTTGAAATGCTAGGTTGGCAGGAGCTAGGACAGGGCAATGGGAGCTCACCCCGTGGTGGGGATTCGAACCGCCGACCTCCTGATTGGCAAGCCCAAGAGGCTCAGTGGTTTAGACCACAGCGCCACCCGCATCCCCTTATCTCCAGGTGGGAGTAGGAGAGAAGCCGGCCTCAAATCCTGGAGAAGCTCTGCCACTCAGTGTAGACAGTACTGAGCTAGTTGGACCAATGGTCTGACCAAGCAGCTTCCTAAGAGAAGCAGCAGTTATTAGTGCCCCTTTTATTTTCATTGATTATGGGGAGATAATCATGGTAAATACATCACCAAAGCAGAATGCTGTCACAAGCAATACAATGTGCACTTTTCTGCTCCTCCTTTTTCTTAGGGGCAGGGCATTTCAGAAGGGATGTCCTTTATAGAGCGAGGAGAGGATACTGGACTCTTGCATCACCAAAATGCCACCTGTTTCATGTCCTTTATTATTGCTATTTTTAAGAGTGCACGCCAAGCCAGCACACAGAAAGACACGGCCGTTCTTTAAAGCATAGCCCACATTAATGCATCCAAATGCCAATGGCTTGTCCTTAGAAAAGGGGTGAGGAAATGTCTCCGTCCCGAGGGCCACATTCTCTTATGGGCAACATTCCGAGAGCCACATGCCCTTGAGGGCCAGGGGCAAAATGGGCGGGGCATTGAATGCGAACTTCACTTTGGTACAGTAGGTTTGTTTTGACACCCACCCATCCTTCTCTGTCCTCCATCCAGGGAAGCAAGAGGCATGATATGAGCTCAAGGATACATTCCAGCCCGGCAAAAGTACTTAAGGAGGATGCAAAGCAGGGATGGGGAAGGGGCATAGCTGTCAACCGTCCCTTATTTGGCGGGAAACTCCCTTATCCCAGCGCCGTGTCCTGCTGCTGTCCCTTATTGATGATGTCCCTTAAATTTCCCGAGTTTCAAAGGAAGCAGCTCCTCTCCCTCCCTCCCTGCCGACCAGGGAGGAGGGAGGCTCCAACTGTGTTGCTTGGCTGCGTTGCTCGCCCAGTAAAGAGTCTAAGAATGACTGGGGGGTGGAGCTTGCATGCCTTGTGCCGATCAAATTGGCCGCGTTGCCTGGGGACTCGCCTTTGCTCAGCGCTTCCCATCAGAGAGGTGACGGTGGTTTTCCTTGCTGCATCCCCTTTGCTGGGTTGCTGCGCTGTGGGAACCACCGCTTGAGGCTTCGTTTGGCTGCTGGCTGGGCTTTCTGCCTTTGGCTGGGAGGGGCTCAGAAGTTGAACCTCCCTTTGCTCTGAAAATCCCTTATTTTGGCTGCTGATCCCTTATTTTCGAGGCTGCTGGTCCCTTATTTTCAAATCTGTAAGTTGACAGCTATGGGAAGGGGTATGGCTCCGGAGAGTGTGTGACCTGGGGAGATTCCTTGTTTGGTCCCCAGGCCTGAGGTTCCCCATCCGTATCCACAGTCCCCAAAGGCTAAACTGAACAAGCACATCTGCAGTGAATGTTGAAAAGGTCATGGCTGCAGGTGGAACCATCAGTAGGGCCTGTCCAGCAGATCTCAAGGCATGGCAAATAGCGGAAGAGGTGCTTGTGATGTTAACATATGAGAGTGCTGGAGGTGAATTAGTTAAACAAGTTATCCAATCAGAACCCAGGGGGTGGAGTCAGAGGGAATATAAAACCAGCTCTGGGAGGGGCGAAAGGGGAGTTTGTTGGGAGTTGGGTGGTTGGTTGGAATGGGAGTGAATTGGGATAGAGTCTGTGGGTAGGCTGAGTTAGTGTAGTGAAATAAGCTGAGTCAGGAACAGTTAGGGGCTAGGAAGACAAGTAAATATCTGAGAGGTGGTTTAGTGAGTGAGAGCAGGTAGCGGAAGTTATAGGTCTGGATAGGTACCCCATGATTGTAATTGACCAATACCGTTTATGAAATTACACGCTTGTTAAACTGCAATAAATAAACAGAAGTTTATGTTCCAATTTAACCCTGACTGGACTCAGTATTGTCCCAGGTAGGGCCTGGGTGGTGGCAGCAAGAAATAAAGTGGTGGCACAGGGATCAATAGATGGTGAAACGTCCGGGGACCCTGTGTGATCGCCACAGTGCTTACTTATATATACCCTCATTCTCTTTGAGCTCAGCCCTCACACAGGGAGGTAGAGAGAGATGCTCAGCTGCTGGTAGGCACCAGCCATCAAAGTCATTGAACGATCGTTCTCTGTGGCACAATGAGTCGGTGCATCTGGCTGTTAAACCAGAAGGTTGGTGGTTCAAGCCCACCCAAGGATGGCTGTGGGCAGGATTCCTGCATTGCAAGGGGTTGGACTAGATGACCCTGGGGTCTACAGTTCTATGATTCTGTGATCCTCTCCAAGGTATTAGAGCTCACTAAGGAAACCTCTTTAGCTATTAGACTTTGAGACATCCTTTCCATGAAGTTTTAAAAGTCAATTCAAGTGCTTTGCAGTCTTGGGTCCCCAGACACTGCTAGACTACAACTCCCATTATCCTTGACTATTGGCTAGACTGGTTAAGGATGATGGGGTTTGTAGTCCAACAACAGCTAGGGACCTGTGGTTGACGAAACCGATTTTATCATTGTTCATTTAACTGCTTCAAAATATTTCAGGGCAAAAACTGAGAAGACTCCTGTTTGGTTGATTTTTGCTTTTTGTTTTGGAGAGGCACAAATGGTGAGGCGTTCATAGCTGTGCTTTTTGATCTGTAGTCCAAAAAAGAAGCTGTTCCAATTGTTGCTATAGTAACCTGCCATGATACGACAGGCCTTCCTTTTTTGGTGCGGAGCTTGTTCCACATTTACGTTGCAGCATAATTCTCATTTCCAGAGCAGGAGGTAGGAAGCTTGCTGGAGGTGGAGGTAAATTTATTTTCCAGAGCAAGGACAACATGTAAATTTAGAAGCGATTGAAAAAGGCTGTTCTTTGTTCCTGCCAGGGGCTATAAGTAGTAACCGTGTTCCTAAAGGGTATCATGGCTGATGGAAAATTTGAAGAGGGAGCTGGCAATTGATGAATATTGCACCTCAGCTGAATTAACACCATTGGGATTTTCAATAATAATTCCAGCAGGGTTGCAAACTGACCAGGAAAGAAATGGCCTGGCCTGTGCTTTGTCTGCACTCTCTTAGTACCTTGGTCTGAAAAAAGCAGGTGAAGCATTCATGCAGAAAAGCATCACTACCTTCTAAAGCAGGCTTCCTCAACCTCGGCCCTCCGGATGTTTTGAGACTACAATTCCCATCATCCCTGACCACTGGTCCTGCTAGCTAGGGATCATGGGAGTTGTAGGCCAAAAACATATGGAGGGCTGAGGTTGAGGAAGCCTGTTCTAAAGTCTGTGGAGCAAGCTGCTGCTAAAGGTACAGGAACAGCATCCAGGAAAAAAACGTTGGCAATGCTAGATTTCTGTTTTGGTCATGTCCCACTGTACCAGAGCCTTGGAAAGAGAAGGCTTGAAGCTTAAGAAACCAAACCAGCTGCTGAATGTCTGTCCAGCTACTGTGCCTTTAATAGCAACTTGATCCGCAGATACGGGAAAGTTATGATGCTTATCTGCAAGCCATGACAAGGTTCACCTGATGATTGATTAAGCCACTGTTAAAGACAGAAGAGAATATTCAAGCTTGGTCAGACTATAGACCCATCTCATCAAGCATCCGGTGTCCAGTTGTGGCCAACCAGATGTTTTGTGGGAAATCATCTGCTGACAAGGCCACAGGCATGCCCTTCCATCAGTTGCCCCATCAGTGAGGCGGAAAAGCACCCACTTCAGCCACCAGTGCTGCACTCCCACAGAGAAACTGGGAGGCTTGGTGTCCAATCCTGACATCCATTGAAATATGCATGTGTTGAAGGGGCTGTGTTCAATGTGGGAGACACTGAGGCAGTGCACCCTGGGCAAGAAGACTTATGCATTGTGTATTCGAGGGGGGAATATATACGAAGACTTTATGTGGGCGCCGTAGGAGATACTGGCAGGCACACTGGCACCAGTGGGCACCACGTTGACAACCTACTGCCCCAAGGCAACCAATCAGCATGTAAGGATGTCTTGCCCTGAATCTACTGTTCAACCATTCCATCGGCTGATTCCAAATTCCAGTAATTTGATGCAGCAAACGTTCTGGTCGATGCTTATCCTTACTGCTTAATATGTTGCTTGAGTTGAACTGACTACTGATCTGTTTCCAGGTTCAGTTCAAGGACCCTGAAAGCCCTGAATGGATTTGGATCAGGCTATCCAAATGACCGGGGACGCGGGTGGCGCTGTGGGTTAAACCACAGAGCCTAGGACTTGCCAATCAGAAGGTTGGCGGTTCGAATCTCCACGACAGGGTGAGCTCCCGTTGCTCGGTCCCTGCTCCTGCCAACCTAGCAGTTCGAAAGCACGTCAAAGTGCAAGTAGATAAATAGGTACCACTCTAGCGGGAAGGTAAACAGCGTTTCCGTGCGCTGCTCTGGTTCGCCAGAAGCAGCTTAGTCATGCTGGCCACATGACCCGGAAGCTGTACGCCGGCTCCCTCGGCCAATAAAGCGAGATGAGCGCCGCAACCCCAGAGTCGGCCATGACTGGACCTAATGGTCAGGGGTCCCTTTACCTTTACCTTATCCAAATGACCGTCTCCTTCCCTATGATCCTATGCACCCTTGTAAGATCTGCTGGGAAAGCACTGTTATGTGTCCTGAGGACTGTAAATGACATTAGAATGCAAGAAGAAATTGGATGAATGGTGGAGGTTTTCCGGGAGTTTTTTTAAAAGAAAATTGCAAGTGTGGTTTGGATCAGGACCTTTGCCCCTGCAGTGCCCTCCTCCCACAGTGGCTGCATGCTCTTAACCCAGGCATAGGCAAACTCCGGCCTTCCAGATGTTTGGGACTACAATTCTCATCACCCCTAGCTAACAGGAGCAGTGGTCAGGGATGATGGGAATTGTAGTCCCAAACATCGGGGGGGCGGAGTTTGCCTATGCCTGCCTTAACCTGTGCAGTGCAGGAAAGCAAAGCTGACAATTTTGAGTTCTTCTCTAGAGTTTCATACAAACCAGCATCCACACACAGACACACAATTTCTTTTAGAATTTTTGCAAGCCCTGGTTGAACCTTCCATAGGTTCATTAGTCCCCAGAATCTCTTGGATCAAGCAATAGTCAATGATGAAAGATTTCTTCCTGAGACTGACCCTTAAAGAGCTGCTACCAGCCAGAGTAGACAATGCTAGCCTAGATGAACAAATAGTACCCCCAGGCAAAAGTCATCTTTCTATGTTCCCGTTTTCTTAAACTTTGTCTGATATTGTTTGCACCCAATTTGAAGGCCTGTGTACCCATTTTAAATGCTGGCAATTAAAATAATCAACATATATTAACGATTCTCTCCAAATTCATGGAAACCAAATTCCCACGGAGCTGCTGTCCCTCATTTGTATGAATGTGACAAAATTCTTTCTGCCAGCTGAAGGCTTAATACAATCTCTTAATTAGGATTTTGCAGACCGTCTCCTTGCAGAAGCTGAATCATGACATTTTCTTGGCTCTTAAAGGTCATTTTGCATGGAAATGCCACAAGCTTTGCTAGCTAGCTAGCAATTGTATATTAGTCCATCCTCCCCCCCCCACTTTCTAACGCATTCACAGCAGAGTTGTGGAGTTTATGCTCTTAGGTGCGCCCCAAAAGCCATTATTAACTATTCCAAAATCTGTAATTAACTTCCATAATTTTAACGAATGTTACTTCCAGCTCACCTTCCATATTAATCTTTTTCTACAGCATCTCACACCCAATTTTGGACATACACCTCTTCAGGGAGCATGTCCATATTAATACTGGCAACAAACAGCCCAATCTAGCCCAAAGAGTTATGTCTCGTTGATTTCCATGGGAGAATTAAGCAACTGTTTTAAGGCTGCAGTCCCTGTACCCAGGTACTTTGGTGTAAGCCTTAGAGAACTCAACAGGAGTTACTTCTATGCACCCTGGCCTACAAGAAGCCCACTTTGCAGCACTCTTTGTAGACAAAGTTGCTTGGATCCGCTCTGACTTGAGTGCTGTAGTTGAATCAGGTCCTGTGGATGTATCTTGCTGTTGCTTGTCCTGTGATGATGAAAGCATTTCAGTTTGTGGACCCTGAGGATGTGGGCAGCATCCTTAGAGAGGCGAGAGCCACCATGTCTGTAACCTTGCCCATCCCGTGAGGTAGGTTCGACTGGGAGTCAGTGACAGGCCAAAGCTCACCCGGTGAGCTTCAGGACTGAGCGGAAATTTGAACCCTGGTCTCCCAGGTCCTAAGTCCAACCCTCTAACCCAGAACTTTCCAAACTTTTCATGTTGGTGACATACTTTTTAGACATGCATTCTTTCGCGACACAGTAATTCCGTTGTACTAGCAAACCGGAGGTTCACTTAACCCCTTTCCAGCCCCGGGAGGCGCATGGGGAGCATTCGCGCAACACACCTACACCCTGTAGCCGACACACAGTTTGGAAAGCTGTGCTCTAACCACTATAGAACACTATCTTTCATCTCTCTCTCTCTCTCTCTCTCTCTGTGTGTGTGTGTGTGTGTGTTGTGTTTCCCAGATTCCCCGCAGGCTCCTATGGAATGCTCACCTATCCTTCCCTCTGTTATGTACTGAGTTGAATAGGATCCAAATTGCAGCAGTCTGATTGGTCCTGGAACAATAGGATTCAGAATACAGCAGTCTGATTGGTCCTAGAACAATAGGATCCAGAATGCAGCAGTCTGATTGGTCCTAGAACAATAGGATCCAGAATGCTGTAGTCTGATTGGTCCACAGGAGCCACCCAATCCAACTGCAGGTGGAAGCGAAGCCGCAACCTGATTGGCCTACAGGAGAATTCCGGAATTAGCCAATCACGTGGGGCCCATTGTGTAATAATGTATATAAAGCAGACATTCTGGGGGAACTTGCATTCCTCACTACTATGAGCTGAATAAAGAGCATGAAATCCACACTCGACTCCGAGTATATTTCACCTCTCTATTCATTTTCATCCCTGTGCCCTCAGAAGGCCTCCGTTTCAATCTTTCCACCCCCACCCCCACGTCGCTGGGAGGATCAGGCGCAGGCTGCCCTGGCAATGAACTCCCCCCCCCCATTATTATTCCATCAGTTGTTTTTGGCTCCAGGCTCTCCGTCCCACTCCCTTTGAGAAAGCGCGAAGGAGAAAAGAGGAAAGGAGGAGACTGATGGCAACAGCACGAAGGAGGCCAGGGAGAAGCACTCAGGAGTCAAGAGCCCGAGCCGCTTGGCATGCAGAGCGCGCTGGCAGTGTCAGGGCATGAATTAAAGCCCACTATAGTCGAAGGCTCTTCAATGCACTCGTGCGTTAGTCAGTTTGCTCCCTGTGTCAGCACTTTCCCCAGCTTGGAGTGCCTTTGTGTTCTTTAGCTGAGCTATAGAAGCTGCCCTTTAAAGGGAAGAACATGAAAGGGGCCCCAATACATCCATGGCAGCTGCTCTGCATACAGAAAGCCCTGGTTTAATCCCTGTCCTCTCCAGATGAAGTGGGTTTTGGATAGCCGGGTTACTAATAATAATAATAATAATAATAATAATAATTTATTTATTTATTTATACCCCGCCCATCTGGCTGAGTTTCCCCAGCCACTCTGAGCGGCTCCCAATCAAGTTTTAAAAACAGTACAGCGTCAAATATTAAAAACTTCCCTAAACAGGGCTGCCTTCAGTTGTCTTTTAAAAATAAAATAGTTGTTTATTTCCTTGACATCTGAAGGGAGGGCATTCCACAGGGCAGGGGCCACTGCCCAGAAGGCCCTCTGCCTGGTTCCCTGTAACCTCACTTCTTGCATCGAGGGAACCGCCAGAATGCCCTCGGTGCTGGACCTCAGTGTCCGGGCTGGATGATGGGGGTGGAGACGTTCCTTCCGGTATACAGGACCGAGGCCGTTTAGGGCTATTAAAGATCAGTACCAACACTTTGAATTGTGCTCGGAAACGTACTGGGAGCCAATGCAGATCTCTCAGAACCGGTGTTATGTGGTCCCGGCGGCCACTCCCAGTCACCAGTCTAGCTGCCGCATTCTGGATTAATTGCAGTTTCCGGGTCACCTTCAAAGGTAGCCCCACGTAGAGCGCGTTGCAGTAGTCCAAGCGGGAGATAACTAGAGCATGCACCACTCTGGCAAGACAGTCTGCGGGCAGGTAGGGTCTCAGCCTGCGTACCAGGTGGAGCTGGTAGACAGCTGCCCTGGATACAGAATTGACCTGCGCCTCCATGGACAGCAGTGAGCCCAAAATGACTCCCAGGCTGCGCACCTGGTCCTTCAGGGGCACAGTTACCCCATTCAGGACCAGGGAATCCCCCACACCCGCCCGCCCCCTGTCCCCCCAAAACAGTACTTCAACCTCAATCTGTTAGCCGCCATCCATCCTCCAAGCGCCTCCAGGCACTCACACAGGACCTTCACCACCTTCAAATGCTGTCTGTGCAGTAGCAAGGAAAAATGAAGCCGTTTGGACCCGTGGTCTTGTTTAGGGGATGGACGAATCCTATCAATTTTCGTTTTGCCTAAGTGGCTCATTATTCCAGCCTTTAATTCAGTTTGCAACATTCCCTCGCTCCCTCCCCTTTACGCCTTCCCTCCCACATAAGTTGAATATCTATGTCTGATCTTAAGCTTAAGCGCTCTCAACAGAAATGGACATGCTACTTAGAGGAAGAATTGCATTTCCCCAGCAGCAAAGTCTTTGCATCCAGCGGAAATGCTGTTCCCCTTGCACCATGGGCACTTCCTGTAGAGGAGACACCTGGAAGCTGCACAACAAATCACTAACCACACATTTACTGAAAAAAGAATGAATGATCAGATGACCGGGAAACTAATTAGGAAACTGATTCACAAGACTGTGAATTTAATTATTTTCTAACATTTATATCTCACGTGGCATGGAACCCAAGTCAGTATCCAGGCACTGACCAAATCCTGACCTGCTTAGCTCCAGGAAAGTGATGGCCTCACGTGTCTTCAGATTATACTCTGTTTCTGCAGTTACCAAGATCCAAAGATCTACATTAGACACATTTATGGACTTGGGCTCACTGAGTGTGTATTTTTTTTTTTATTGGGAAAGACTACAACATCATATCTAAATATGCTTTTCAAATTTCCCCAACAGTCTTCTTCTTTGGCGATCACTCATAGCCAAGTAAGATTGTCTTCCATAAACACAGTTTTAACAGTGAGTCCGTAAGTGACTATGGAGGCCAATTCTGGATCCACATGTCCTTCCACAGTGGAGACATTGGTTTCTGGGTGGGAGTTCATCACGGTGTGGATTTGCCAAGCGTGCCTTCCTCTTAGCACGTTTCTCCCTTCCATCCTGGGTTCGAGTGTCTTCAAAGCCCATGACACTTTTGGTAAAGGCTGTTCTTCAATTGGAATGCTTGCAGGCCAGTGTTTCCCAATTGTTGGTGTTAATACTACTTTTTTTTTTAGATTTGCCTTGAGACAGTCCTTAAACCTCTTGATGACCACCAGCATTATGCTTTCCATTTTTAAGTTTGGAATAGAGTAGTTGCGTTGGAAGACGATAATCAGGCATCCGCACAACATGACCTGTCCAATGAAGTTGATGTTAAAGAATCATTGCTTCAACACTGGTGATCTTTGCTTCTTCCAGTACACTGGCATTAGTTCACCTGTCTTCCCAAGTGTTGTGTAAAACTTTTCGGAGACACCATTGATGGAATCTTTCGAGGAGTTGGAGATGGCGTTTATAAGTGGTCCACATTTCACAAGCATACAGTAAGGTTGGTAGTACAATAGCTTTGTAAACAAGCATTTTGGTTTCCCAGCGAACGTCCCAGTCCTCAAACACTCTGCACTTCAATTGGGAGAAAGCTGCACCCACAGAGCTCAGGTGATGCTGGATTTCAGATGTGGAAGCCATCATACTGGGCTGGAAAGAACATTACCAACATCTCCTTAACCACAACTCCCCAACAGTGGTTTGTGAGGAAAGCTGCTTCTTCCAAAAACTGAAGTCCAAGTTCTTCCGTGAACAAAGGGTGTACCATTTTTCAATGTTTGCCAGTATTCCAAGAGTGGGGAAATCCAGCTCACCCACTTCCAGCATGGAGCGCTCAACAAATTATCCCCCCGAGGGAAGGCTGCCCTGGACGAGTGAAAAAGAAAGGTCTCCCACTCCCAAGTTCACAATTCGTACTGAAAAGTACAAACCATGCTAAACCCTTGATTTCATATGTGGGGAATGTTCACTCGTTAATTTCTTTTGTTCCCTAAGCAGTCATCCTTGGTGAAGAGGAAGCGAATGTTTTATCTTACATGTGTCCAATGGCTTCTTTCCAGTGAGTTGGCTTCAGTTCTCAGGCAGGTCTGAAAATCCTCACTTCCTGTGCTCTCTGCTTTCCGAGCCACCAGGACAATTTTCCTAGAATCGTTACCTCTGGGAAATGAAACAGAGCCTTCCTTAGATTGGCAAGCGATGGAGGGTGGAGCAAATTCTTTTCAAATGTCCTCTTCTAAGAAAGCGAAACTCTCAGGGACTTCAAGTTGTGCCAACTGGGATTAATTGTCTGGATGATTTACAGTGTGAGGTGGAGTTCCTATCAGTAAGGGTCCACTCCTTGAACAGGGTGGGCCTCTAGCTGTCTGTTCTACCCTAAAAAAAAGAAAGAAAGAAACAATGAGAGAGTTTTTGGACTTAAAATTTCTGGAAGAAATCCTGAAACAATTCACTTTCTGCAATGAAGTCCTTCGTATTATTGCTTCATTGTCCATTCTTCCTCTTAGAGTCAAAGTCAGGCTTATGTATATACCAGATCTTCCACAAATAATATTTGTACTCAGAGTGGCTTGCAGAAAATAAAAGATGGCGTCCAACTCCCCCCTACTGTCAGTGCAAGGAATTTTGCCTGTGCAATAAGACTTCCTCCCTTCTCCTCCTTGTGTGCATGCACTGTGCCTTTTCCAAATCTGCTCCGGGGGGTCGGAGTAATCTCCCAAACAGATTTAAGGGGTGAAATGTACTCGGAGTCGAGTGTGGATTTCGTGCTCTTTATTCAGCTCATAGTAGCGAGGAATGAAAGTTCCCCCAAAATATCTGCTTTATATTCATTATTTACACAATGGGCCACACGTGATTGGCTAATTCCGGGATTTCTCCTGTAGGCCAATCAGGTTGCAGATTCACTTCCACCTGGAGCTGGATTGGGTGGCTCCTGGGGACCAATCATACTGCTGCATTGTTCTAGGACCAATCAGACTGCTGCATTCTGAATCCTATTGTTCTAGGACCAACCAGACTGCTGCATTTTGGATCCTATTCAACTCAGTACATAACAAGGATTATGCAGTAGGAAAAGAGGGAAGAAAGACCCATTATGGTAGCATAAATCCTTCCACTGATGGGAAGCTTACTTTGCACTATACAGTGGTACCTTGGTTTAAGAACTTAATTCGTTCTGGAGGTCCGTTCTTAACCTGAAACTGTTCTTAACCTGAGGTACCACTTTAGCTAATGGGGCCTCCCGCTGCCACCCCACCGCCGCCGCATGATTTCTGTTCTCGTCCTGAAGCAAAGTTCTTAACCCGAGGTACTATTTCTGGGTTAGCGGAGTCTGTAACCTGAAGCATCTGTAACCCGAAGCATCTGTAACCTGAGATACCACTGTAGTTCATAAACAGGGCTGTTCGTAAACCGAGGCACCACTGTATGTGCTTAGAAGTAACACTATTATACATGAAAATATAATATTATTTTAAAAACAGCTTTAAAATGGTTTTTTTGTATTATTCAATAAGTCATAGGTACAGTACAACAACAATGCATACCGGGGTAAAGCGTTCGGAAAAAAGCAGACCTTAGTGAAAATAATGTAGAAAAGTGCATTATATATTAGGGAGAACCAGTGCTATCGTAGCACCCACCTGACAGGTACCGGAACTCAGTTCTGATGAGTTCCAGCTAAATAAAAAAGCCCTGAGGAGAACTGTTTTGCAAAGTAAACAAGCACGTTAGGCAAAATTCCATACAAAAATGTGTATGTAAGGAAAAAAATTGTAGTTAATTGATGAATTTCCACGAGTAATTAAGAAAAAGCAAATTGATGAGGAGAACTGAACTTAAGTGTGGGGAAAGGAGATATGGGAAGGAACCAAAATCGACAGAATCATCCATCCCTACTATACATCCATATTTTGTTTATTTTTAGTACAGCTCATTGATTTAAAGATTGCAGTTCAGTCCCCAGCTCTTCAAAAGAAGCTAGGGTCAGCACAAGATACATTTCTGCTTGAGGGAAAGAGCAAGTTGGTGCCCCCCTCCAGTCCAGAAAAATACTGGACTGATATTGGAATCTTACCTCAGTAATGGCAGTCAGGTAGCCAAATCTGAGGGCAACAGCTTGGGATGGGTGGGTTATGGGAGGTATTGTTTTTTTGCTAATACGTTATGTATTTTGTTTTTATTCTGCATTTTTGTGTTTTAAACTGGTGACCTTCAGATGAAAGGTAGTATATTAAATGAATGAATGAATGAGGGGTGCAGGACAGACCATGTAACATAAACACATCTCTGTCCAACAATAGGGCATGACTTAAGTGGTTAAGATACCTGAAAGCGGCCCTGTTTAGGGAAGTTTTAAATGTTTGATCATGTTTTTACTATTCTTCTGGGAGCCACCTAGAGTAGCTGGGGAAACCCAGCCAGATGGGTGGGGTATAAATAAGAAAATTATTACTATTATTATTACTATTGTTGCTGTTAAGTAGGAACACCTGGGAGACTATCCCTGCTGCCTCCCAGCATTTGCCGCCTGAGGCAGTTGCCTCACTTTGCCTGGTGCTAGGGCCGGCCCCATAAATAGAATTGTAGAATCATTCATCAGAGGATTACTTACATGATTTGCACACGCTAATTGCTTTGACTGAAGGGGATCCAGTTCTTTTCACCTCAGACTGCAACTGCTCACATGCCCTATAAATCAACCTTTCCAATAAAAGCCACTGTCAGTGTGAATAACACTGGCCTTTAGGGCACCATAAAACATGTCACACTATCTAAAAAGATACGGATTCTTTTCTGTTAGGTTCCTTCTGGGGATGCAGGTAGGAGCAGGACGAAATCCTTTGTATTCCTGCCCAACTTGTATATGAAAGTTTGCACGTGTGGTGTTGCAGATAAAGATGACAGCCAAGGCCTAAGCATTCATGATAAATATTTAGCACTGTTAACAGTGCTATTTGTGGCTTCTGCCAAATGATAAAAGAATGGCATTAGAATCCATTGTGCTTTGCTTTCTCCATTTTATCCTCACGCCAACCCTGTAAGGTAGGTTAGGCAGAGAGATACCAAATGGCTCAAGGTCACTCAGTAGGCTGAGTGGGGATTTGAACACTCGCCTCCCCAGGTCTTCCACATCATATCCCATCACCCCAACCGCTGCACCACAGTAATAAAATTAAGCATTTCTTCTGTGCTAGATCAGCTGGTGTTAATTGATCTCCATATTGCATTTGCTATGCTTCTAGATGCCCATCAACCAAGTTCCCTGAATGGTCTGCAACAATCAATTAAACAGGCAAATCCAATCCAATCATTAAAACTTTATTAGTGCAACAAATAACAACAATAACAACAACATAGAACCTAACATAAAACAACATGAAATTTAAGTGTAATGACATCAGCTGTCTGTTCACATCTGCCTTTGAGAGAGGGAGATGAATTTCAAGGAAGGAAGGAAGCTGGGCAACCATAAAATTAATATAGTGGCTAAGAAGGAGGCTTGGACTGTGACAGGCTTGCCAAAGTGAGATCTTGGAGAAGATGTGATTTGCACAGCTCCATTTATTAGCCACTACTGTTTGTGGTGGGTGGCGCTGTGGTCTAAACCACTGAGCCTAGGGCTTGCCGATCAGAAGGTTGGCGGTTCGAATCCACGTGACGGGGTGAGCTCCTGTTGCTCGGTCCCTGCTCCTGCCAACCTAGCAGTTCAAAAGCACATCAAAGTGCAAGTAGATAAATAAGTACTGCTCCGGCGGGAAGGTAAATGGCGTTTCCGTGCGCTGCTCTGGTTCGCCAGAAGCGGCTTAGTCATGCTGGCCACATGACCCGGAAAAACTGTCTGCGGACAAACGTTGGCTCCCTCGGCCAGTAAAGCGAGATAAGTGCCGCAACCCCAAAGTCGTTTGCGACTGGACTTAACTGTCTGGGGTCCTTTACCTTTACCTTTTTACTGTTTGCTAGCAGATCTTCCAGGTTCACACTGTTTAAAGATGGTCAGTGAACAGCAACCATGTCCCCAGATATAAAGGGAAAGGAATACCATCACTAGGTATTTGTAATCGTCCACCATTAGATAAACATCTACCTTGGCTGGGGCTGTCATTCAAAACATCTGGAGGGCGCTAGGTTGGCAAAGTTTGGATATATATTATCGCACCAGAAGTAGTGATGGCCACCATCTTGGGATGGCTTTCAAAAAGGATTAGTGTGGTGTAGTGATTAGGAGCGGTGGATTCGTAATCTGGGGAACCGGGTTTGCGTCTCCGCTCCTCCACATGCAGCTGCTGGGTGACCTTGGGCTAGTCACACTTCTCTGAAGTCTCTCAGCCTCACTCACCTCACAGAGTGTTTGTTGTGGGGGAGGAAGGGAAAGGAGAATGTTAGCCGCTTTGGGACTCCTTAGGGTAGTGATAAAGCGGGATATCAAATCCAAACTCCTCTTCTTCTTCTTCTTGCGGATAGGGCTACCAGCCACCACGACTGTGTTTTCCCTCTTCTGTTGGAGTCAGTGTGGTTCTGAAAACCAGTTGCTGGGGGCGTAGCTGGGAAGAGTACTATGGTGCTTGTGGGCTTCCCACGGACATCTGATTGGCCACTGTGTGAAAAGGACGGCGAAGCAGATGGGCTGTTGACCTGACTTTGCTGGCGAGAGGGAGACGGTGTAGTATTGTGGCTAGGACATTTATCCTTCCGCTTCCAATGTGTTATCTCTGACATTCCGAGTTAACAACTTCTCTCGGAAGTTAGCATTTAAAGGGCACGGCTGTAAATAGCAGCTCGGTCTTCAGTGGGTGGGCATGTTACTCATCCGTACCAGGGAACTCCCAAACCCATCTGTGAAAGCGTCAGCTGCAAGCAGCTTCCTTTCTCAGATCATCCTTATTCTTTCCTCTAGCATTTGAAGAAGTGTTTGACATCTGCCCTCCCTAGGAGAATGCATATTCTTGCAACACGTAATCTTGGGGGATTCCTGGTTTTTCACTGGTTCCTCATTCTGTCGGTTCACAAGTCTTGTTGTTTAGTCATTTAGTTGTGTCCGACTCTTCGTGACCCCATGGACCAGAGCACGCCAGGCACTCCTGTCTTCCACTGCCTCTCACAGTTTGGTCAGACTCATGCTGGTAGCTTCGAGAACACTGTCCAACCATCTCGTCCTCTGTCGTCCCCTTCTCCTTGTGCCCTCCATCTTTCCCAACATCAGGGTCTTTTCCAGGGAGTCTTCTCTTCTCATGAGGCGGCCAAAGTATTGGAGCCTCAGCTTCACGATCTGTCCTTCCAGTGAGCACTCAGGGCTGATTTCCTTCAGAATGGAGAGGTTTGGTCTTCTTGCAGTCCATGGGACTCTCAAGAGTCTCCTCCAGAACCATAATTCAAAAGCATCAATTCTTCGGTGATCAGCCTTCTTTATGGTCCAGCTCTCACTTCCATACATCACTACTGGGAAAACCATAGCTTTAACTATACGGACCTTTGTTGGCAAGGTGATGTCTCTGCTTTTTAAGATGCTGTCTTAGCCTGCTGATAATGCAAATATTATATCATTCAGCTTTTGCTACGAAAGCATGCATAATCCCAGCAGCAGAGAGAAGTTCATCCAAGGACGGTTGACGTTACACAAAGTCAGCATCAAACCAAGTGTCATAATTGGTGTTCTTAGCAGTCAGAACCGATAGGTAGCTTGATGGGAGATGCAATAAGTGGAGAGTTACTCACCTCAAAAGCTGTGTGTTACCTCCTCTGTCAGAGACAGTATGTCTCTGTGTACAAGTTGTTGGGGATCGCAATTGGAGAGAGTGATCTCATGCTCAGATATAAGCTTTCAAGTTGGTTGGTCACTGTGAGAGCAGAGTACTGGACGAGGTGAGTTCGACCTAATTCAGCTGGGTTCTTCATGCATTCTTATGCTTATGGGAGGAAAAACATGGTGTACAATCTAATGCTCATTGCTGGAGCTAGGCAAACATAGCTTGGAAACAGCAGTAAAATTAATTGCTTGTCCTCAGAACGCTGAAATATTTTTTTCTCTCAGGCCTCGGTCTCCATCTTAGTCCGCCCACAGGCCTCCTGTTTCCCATTACTATTGTCAATTTCACATTTAGCTATGGGAATGAAAGCCACACGCCGTAGTAAACATCCTTTTAAAATCACACAGCCAGTTCCTGTAATTTCATGGCTCTTAAGGCTGAGGATCATTCTTATATAGATAGTTTCTCTCTCTATTTAAAGGTGAGACAGATTTATGGATGATTCAAAAAGGTATTAGGAACAGGCAAATCTGCCGATTTTGGTTTCAGTCAGTTCCTCATTTTTCCAATCTAAAATCCAGATTTTTACATCAGGGCGTGACTCCCCTCTCCCAAGTCCTTATGAAAATTCATCAACATTTTAGTATTAATTTCTCCTACTGTGCACATTCGTATGTCACTTCCCTTAAACCCCCCTAATATAATGAGTTTTTTGTATGTTTTCTCTAATATATGCCTTTTTGTGCATGCTTTATTCTAGCATATGCATTTTGGTACACATAACTTGGCCCAAGAACTGCATTACAAAATTCAGAGAAGTGTGAATTTCAAAGTATGGCTGTGTTTTTGTTCTTCTGCTGTTCCAGAAAGTGTGAATTAGGTAGATTTGCCTTAATTGTCAACTGAATCAAATTTTTCCCCATCACTGATAGTTATTAGCCCCAATAGTTACATGGAACAAAGCACATGGAAAAACCTGCATGGGCCCTGACCTGACTGAGAGCCTGGAAGGGTTGGGGCCTCCTGGTCCTGTATTGGTTCCCAGCCTGAACTTCTACCATTGCTGAAACAATAGTTCTCTTCCTGACTCCAAACTCCAGCCTTCCTTTCTGGCCTGGGAATAGGAAGGGCAATGATAACGAAGGATGAATGTGAGCCAGTTAATTTATTTAGATGTTATTGTGTTTGGGGGACTTCATTATATGAGATAGACATATACAGAACACGATGTAACATACAACATGGTCCCGAGAAATGAAAAGTCAACCCCTGCAGATCTATAACTCCTGATTTGTATAATAACTCCTGCCGTACAAATAATAGAATTGTAGAGTTGGAAGGGACCTCAAGCGTCATCTAGTAGAACCCTCTACAACTCAGGAATCACAGCTAACACATCCATGATGGATGGCCATCCAACCTCTGCTTTGAAACCTCCAAGGAAGGCGAGCCCACAAGCTCCTGTGGGAGACTGTTCCACTGTTGAACAGCTCTTACTATCAGAAAGTTCTTCCTGATGTCTAGTTGTAATCTCCTTTCTTGTTACTTGAAGCCATTGATTCAAGTCCTACTCTCGAGAGCAGGAGAAAACAAGCATGCTCCATCTTCCATGTGACAGCCCTTGAGATAGTCAGAGATGGCAATCATATCACATCACAGTCTCCTTTTTTCCAGGCAAAATATACCCACCTCCTTCAACCTTTCCTCATAAGGCTTGATTTCCAGATCCTTGATAAACTTGGTTGCCCTCTTCTGTACACGTTCCAGCTTGTGAATATCCTTCTTAAATTGTGGTGCCCAGAATTGGACACAGTACTCCAGGCGTGGTCTGACCAAGGCAGAATGTTGTTGTTGTTGTTGTTGTTGTTTAGTCGTTTAGTCGTGTCCGACTCTTCGTGACCCCATGGACCAGAGCACACCAGGCACTCCTGTCTTCCACTGCCTCCCGCAGTTTGGTCAAATTCCTGCTGGTAGCTTCGAGAACACCATCCAACCATCTCATCCTCTGTCGTCCCCTTCTCCTTGTGCCCTCCATCTTTCCCAACATCAGGGTCTTTTCCAGGGAGTCTTTTCTTCTCATGAGGTGGCCAAAGTATTGGAGCCTCAGCTTCACGATCTGTCCTTCCAGTGAGCACTCAGGGCTGATTTCCTTAAGAATGGAGAGGTTTGATCTTCTTGCAGTCCATGGGACTCTCAAGAGTCTCCTCCAGCACCATAATTCAAAAGCATCAATTCTTAGGCGATCAGCCTTCTTTATGGTCCAGCTCTCACTTCCAAGGCAGAATAGAGTGTTACTATTACTTCCCTTGCTCTGGACATTATTATTAATAATAATAATAATAATAATAATTTTATACCCCAGCCACTTTGGATGGCTTACAGCACATAAAAAATTGTAAAAGATAAAAAATTTCCTGATACAGGGTTGCCTTCAGATGTCTTCTAGTCAGAAATTTTTATATTTCCTTGATATCTGATGGGAGGGCGTTCCACAGGGCGGGCGCCACTACCGAGAAGGCCCTCTGCCTGGTTCCCTGCAACCTCGCTTCTCGCAGTGAGGGAATCGCCAGAAGGCCCTCGGAGCTGGACCCCAGTGTCTGGGCTGAACGATGGGGGTGGAGATGCTCCTTCAGGTACACTGGGCCGAGGCCGTTTAGAGCTTTAAAGGTCAGCACCAACACTTTGAATTGTGCTCAGAAACGTACTGGGAGCCAATGTAGGTCTTCCGGTGCCAGTGTTCTATGATCTTGGTGGCCAACCCTAGTCACCAGTCTAGCTGCCACATTCTGGATTAGTTGTAGTTGATGCAGCCTAGAGTAGCATTAGCTTTTTTTGCTGCTGTATCACAATGTTGACTCATGTTAAGTTTGTGGTCCACAAGGACCTATGGTGCCACCTCATACTGTAGATATTCATGGTCGTTTGGCTTCAAAAAGGAGATTGTAGAGCTGGGAAAACTTCAGGAAAAAAGGCAACCCAAATGTTCAAGGGGGTGGAGCAGCTCCCCCACGAGAAAAGATTGCAGCATTTGGGACTTTGTAAAAAGGCAAGGAAAAGGCGACATGATAGAAGTTTATGAAATGATGTGCCTTGAATGGAGAAATTGGATAGAAAACAGTCCTCACCCCACCCCCAAATCACCAGAACTTGTGGTGGGCATCCAACGAAGCTGAATTTTGGAAGATTCAGGACAGAGAAAAGGAAATACTTTTTCACACAGCTTATAGTTAAATTACAGACGTCGCTGCCAGAGGAAGCTGCGACGGCTGCCAACTCAGATGGCTTTAAATGAGGATTGGACAAATTAATAGAAGATAAGGCTCGCGGGTGGCGCTGTGGGTTAAACCACAGAGCCTACGACTTGCCGATCAGAAGGTCGGCGGTTCGAATCCCCGCGACGGGGTGAGCTCCCATTGTTCGGTCCCAGCTTCTGCCAACCTAGCAGTTCAAAAGCACAAAGTGCAAGTAGATAAATAGGTACCACTCCGGCAGGAAGGTAAATGGCGTTTCCGCGCACTGCTCTGGTTTGCCAGAAGCGGCTTAGTCATGCTGGCCACATGACCCGGAAGCTGTCTGTGGACAAATGCCGTCTCCCTCAGCCAATAAAGCGAGATGAGCGCCGCAACCCCAGAGTCGGTCACGACTGGACCCAATGGTCAGGGGTCCCTTTACCTTTAAGGCTGTCCATATACTGCAACCTTGAGGGCTCTGTTCTACCTCCACTGCTGTAGGCACCTTGCCTCTGAATATCAGATGTTGGAAATGTCATGTGTTGTTTCAGTTAGGTTCTGCTTGCAGGCTTACCATTGGCATCTAGTTGGCCACTGCAAACTATATGGGCATTTTGGCGTGATAAAGCAGACCTCCTCTTCCTTTTTCTGTTAGGCTTCCTTTGGCGATGGATATAGCCTTTACAACGCCACTTTGGATGCAGTGACACGAGTCACTGCCAAAACTACCATAGCTAATGCAGATTTATGGGCTCGAGACAGTGCTCTCACTCAGTTCCCCTTAGGACACTCCAGTCCTACCAGCTTAAATGTCTGCTGGGGAATAGCTAACAAAGAGGCTCACTTAAAGCTGCCGGAGCCTCTACCCGCCCCACTCCCCCCCCTTCCACTGCCCCTCCGACACAAAGGCACTCAAGAGTGCATGGGAGTTATTTAGATAATAAATGGCTTGTAGCTTCATTGCAAAGAAGAGGGACAGTGTGTTCGGAGTGAAGATTCTTGGGGAGGGCTCTGGAGTAATGGTGTGAAAGAAGAAAGGAACACACACACAACAAATGGAAGGCGCCAAATTATTAATCGTTATTGATCAGGCGTTAAGTGGCAGCTTGGCGTGTGATTCAAGAGACAAAGAGAGCACGGGCTATTTAACAAATAGATGTTATCTGGCCATTGCAAGGGTGGGCAGAGGGAGGAGTGTGTGGTAATTAGCAGCATGCAGCCAGGCATCAACAGGCTCTACAAGGCTTGTAGCCAGGGTGGGGCCAGTGGATGTGAAGCATTGCTTCACCCACCCCACCTATGCCAGGAAGACTTCAGCATTGTGAGGTCTACTTTGTTGTCGTTGTTTTCTCAAGCCACAAGAGCCGCCAAACAGCCAGGCACAAAAGACATGCAATTAGACATCTGCACACATCCAAACCTACCCAAACTCTGAGATCAGCTCCAGAGCTTCCTGTTTCATGGCCCATCACTAGCAAGGGTACTAGGCCCAGGATTTATTTTGTTGTTGGCACCACAGTTGTGGAATTCTCCACCCGGATTGATCCTTCAAGCCCCCTCTCTTTGCACATTTAGACTACAGTGGAACCTCAGTTGTCGAATGTAATCCATTCCAGAAGACCGTTCGACTTCCAAAACGTTAGACAACCAAGGCGCAATTGCTGGTCAGCAAAATCCATTGAAAAAATTGAGAAATGTGCCTCGGAAGCCGTTTGATTTCTGAAAATTGTTTGAAAACGGAAGCATTCACTTCCGGGTTGTTGGCATTAGGGTTCCAAATTGTTCAGCTTCCAAAGCGTTCGACAGCCGAGTTTCCACTGTACCAATGAATGCATTTGTTGCAGAAGCATCAGAGAATTGTATAGTTGGAAGGGGCCACAAGGAAAATAATAATCTACTCACTGGATTGAGTTCCATTCCAGACATGGGTCAAATAAACAAACAGTGGCAGTCTCTGCTCCTATTTCCATTCTCATCAGAATTCTCCAACAGCCCTACCCACAATAACAGGCAGCATAAAGAGAGTCAGAGCTGACAGGTCTATGAGTAGATTTCCCCCCCGTTTGTTTTTTAAGGCAGCAGCATAAATGCATAAAACAGTTATTTATGCCAATGTTGGTAAGGGTCATAAAAATGCATAGGAAGTCTGCCTATAAAAGTTATCCAAAAAAAACAACAACCCCAAGAAGCGCCAACCCAGATATCGGTTGCTGTTAATCAGGGTTCAGATTTTTCAGCATGGAAACAAATTATGATGGTGAAGGTGCAGATAATTTTATCAAGCAGCAGCCTGACTTCATGTGAATCCACAGGAGCAAACTTGTATTTTGAAACAGTTCTTGTTGTGTTGTGTCACTGTCACCTGAGTAGAAGTAATCTTGGGAGATTTCCACATCCCCAGGATTTGATCCACTGATGGAATCAGATGTAAATAAAGCACCCGATATACATTTCAAATGTGTGTGGTAGGGCTACGACACCCAATGCTATCTCAGCAGGTCATAACTGAGGAAAGTTCAAGGTCTCTTATAGTTCTCCTTGGCCATAAAAGCCAGTGCGTTGTAGGGAACATGTTCTTTGCTTGCATGTAGCAAGCCCAGAATCAAACTCCTGCTTTGAGTAATCTTCTATTGAGCAGGGTCAGTCCAAGACATTTGGCAGCCTGGGGCAAAGGAGAAGGTGATGCTCCCCTAAAGTCCATCCATGTTCAAAGGCTAACTAAACTTGCAGGTGACTCAGTGGAGGCTGGTGCTCATTGGCATTGGTAGGGCAGAAGTCAAAGAGGTCAATTGCAGGTGGAGCCAACTCTTTCTGGTTTTGTCCCCATCCTCCTGTTAGGATTTTACATAACCAATGCTGGTTAGTGTGATTAGTATAAATCACATGAGATGTCTGAGAAGAGTGTGGGAACGGAAGACTATCTTATCTCTTCCGTCTGAGAGTGTTATTGGACTGTACTTTTGCTTTTGCGGTGTGCTTTCTATTTCTGCCAGAGTTTGGAGAACACAGACGTGATTATGGACTCTCTGTATATATTGTGAATAAAATGTAGTTTAGATCTATGGATGTCTCTATCTTCTTGCTGTGTGATGCCAGAAGACCTGTGTGCACTTTTCATATGAGAAGTGTCTCAGAGGGGCACTCTGGAGTGAAGGGACATTGCCATTCCAGAGACGAGCCTACTGGGAGACGTTCGGAGGTACTGGGGTTCTGCCGTCCCCTCCAGGAGCTTTTGCCAACACCTCCCTGATGAGTTCTACAAAGTCAACATGGAGGAGGCTAACAGGCAGTGCTCTGCCTCTAGGCTGGTTGTAAGTAAGGAGAGAGGCTGGGAATGAGTGCTGACTGGGGGTCAACAGCATTGCTTCCACATAGCAGCTGCTGGAAACCCCAGGAGGCAAGAGTGTTCTTGTGCCTGAATCCTGCTTTGCTGGTTTCCCATGGACATCTGGTTGGCCGCAGGATGCTGGACCAGAAGGGCCTTTGACCTGATCCAACAGGCAGTTCAGGTTCTCCATTGCACCTGAGGTTAGCAGGTAGGCTACAATCAGTTCATTGACCTCGGCTGCTACCAATAAACCTCCCCACCCGCCCCACTACACAAGAAAGCTTCAGCAAGAAGCAGCTGCTTTCAATGTGCCAAAGAGCCTGTTGGATATTCAATCAGCCGCTGAATGGCTGTACCAGTGGGGTGGATCCAAGCTGTTTCTCCCAGGCTCTGAGGTATGGAGACAGTGGGGAGGGATCACATCATTTCCCCCTGCTCTGTCACTGCATGAAGACTCATTCTTTTTCACGTCGTAGCCAGCTTGGATCCTTTCTCTCCCAGGAGAGGAAAAGGGAAGGTTAAATGCTATAAGTAAACATAGGACAGAAAATGCTAGGAGCTTGAAGCAGCCCCTGATAATATAAAGCAGAAGTACTTGCCTTGATCTCTGCTTCTGAACTATTTTCTTTTTACATTAAAAAGGGCAGGTTTTCTAGTATGTATCACATAAAACTTAATAGTTCTATATTCCTACACTAGATGTCACTGTATCAGCATAGACTGCTGGATGATAACAGACTTCATATTCTAGATCCTTCTTTCGTCCATTGGGTTGATTTTCGGTTCCTCCCCTTCATATTGGTTTGGGGCTTCTGAAGAGCCTTGCGGAGTGAAGACCAAGCATGAGTCTTTGATTTGAAGCTCATCTGTGACCAACATCACCATTTTCTGCACATTACTTGCCTGGGCCAGCTGCAATTGAGTGCTTCAAGTTTCAGCATGTTCTTGAGGGATCTGCCTCTTTGGCTGTGTGGACTTACAGAGTGCTTGGACCAAGTGAATGGGATGGTGCATCATTCTATTTCAAACAGGGGCTGAATGTGCCCCCCTCCTCTGGCCTTTATCTGGCCCCCAGCACTCTCCCCAGGCCATAATTTGTTGTTGTTGTTTAGTCATTTAGTCGTGTCCAACTCTTTGTGACCCCATGGACCAGAGCACGCCAGGCACTCCTGTCTTCCACTGCCTCCCGCAGTTTGGTCAGACTCATGTTTGCAGCTTCAAGAACATTGTCCAACCATCTCGTCCTCTGTCGTCCCCTTCTCCTTGTGCCCTCCATCTTTCCCAACATCAGGGTCTTTTCCAGGGAGTCTTCTCTTCTCATGAGGCAGCCAACGTATTGGAGCCTCAGCTTCAGGATCTGTCCTTCCAGTGAGCACTCAGGGCTGATTTCCTTCCAAATGGAGAGGTTTGATCTTCTTGCAGTCCATGGGACTCTCAAGAGTCTCCTCCAGCACCATAATTCAAAAGCATCAATTCTTCGGCGATCAGCCTTCTTTATGGTCCAGCTCTCACTTCCATACATCACTACTGGGAAAACCATAGCTTTAACTATACAGACATTTGTTGGCAAGGTGATGTCTCTGCTTTTTAAGATGCTGTCTAGGTTTGACATTGCTTTCCTCCCAAGAAGCAGGCGTATTTTAATTTTGTGACTGCTGTCACCATCTGCAGTGATCATGTAGCCCAAGAAAGTAAAATCTCTCACTGCCTCCATTTCTTCCCCTTCTATTTGCCAGGAGGTGATGGGCCCAGTGGCCATGATCTTAGTTTTTGATGTTGAGCTTCAGACCATATTTTGCGCTCTCCTCTTTCACCCTCATTAAAAGGTTCTTTAATTCCTCCTCACTTTCTGCCATCAAGGTTGTGTCATCTGCATATCTGAGGTTGTTGATATTTCTTTCGACAATCTTAATTCCGGCTTGGCATTCATCCAGCCCAGCCTTTCGCAACTCAAGGCCATAATACCTCTTCCAAATCATGCCCCTCTCTAGCCCTGCCCTTTGTCCTCCTCAGGCCTGTTTGTTTGGCTGGAATATGTCCTTGAAGAAGGAAATCCCTTTAAGTCCGTGAACCGAGGAACTGCTGTTTGCAGCAAGGAGGCGAATGGGGGGGGGGGTCATAGGAGAGACTTCAATCTTCTCACCATCTACAGCTACCCCCTTCCTCCTGCTAGCCTTGCACCTGCTGAGCCTCTCACCACTAGGCAAGCCAGACCCAGCAGCTGAGAGCAGCAGTAGTCTTGTGACCTCTGCACCTCCAGCCAATGTACGTCTTCTGGCTGTAGCTACAAAGCAGAGATGGGGCCCTCACCACTACAGTCGTTGAGTGGCTGATTGAATATCCAACAGGCTCTATGGCACATTAAAAGAATATATCACGGATCAATGTGGAAACAAGACAGATTAGATTTAGGGATGAACACATGCACAGCTGGCAGGGACAGAAAATAGACTGAACGGTCCATTCCTACTTTCACCTGAACATGCAGAGGATTCTTATTCACACATATGTTAAGGGGATGGAAGCGTTAATTAAAAGGGAAAGAATGGCATGGAACACACCCAGATTTTCAAGCAACCACTTTTATTGAAACCCAACAAACGTGGCAATGATGCTTATTGCCATTGGCTGCATCAGGCACCCCCAAACTCGGTCCTCCAGATGTTTTGGGACTACAACTCCCACCATCCTTAGTTAACAGGACCAGTGGTCAGGGATGATGGGAATTGTAGTCCCCAAAGCAGCTGGAGGGCTGAGTTTGGGAATGCCTGGGCTACATAGTCTAGGTGTAGGGAACCTTTGGTTCTCCAGATGTTGCTGAACTACAACTCCCTTCAGCCCTAGCAAGTATGGCCAATGGCAACCCCTAGAGGGCAACAATTCAGCAATATTTGGAGGGCTGGATCCCTACACCTGATATAGATTCCCTGAAGCAGGGTGCATGGTTTTAAGTTAGTAAGGGTCAGGGGTGGGGGAACATGGATAGTCTACAGGTCAAATGAGGTCATGGGCCTCTTCCAGAGGCCACTTCTGGGGGCAGAGGCAAAAGTGGGCAGGGCAACAGATGTGAGCCTCCTCTTTGTACGGTAGGCATATTCTAGCCTTGCAAAAGCCAGATGTTTCTGCACATGTAGCTCTGGGGAAGGCGGAAGAGGGGCTACCCCAGCAGTTCTCTCAAGCTGTTGATGGTCCATTAAGTGTGTTCCTTGGCCTGAACTTCCAGGCATCCCCATCCCTGTTCTAGGTGATTTAGGTGTTTCCCAGCCTTGGGTCTCCAGCTGTTTTTGGACCACAACTCCAATCATCCCTACTTAGCAAGGCCAGTGGTCAGGGATGATTGGAATTGTAGTTCTAAAACAGCTGGAGACCAAAGGTGGGGAAACTCTGATTAGGTTGTCCAGGTGCTGAACAATGGCATATTCATTGGTTTTGGCCATCCCCGTCAGTCACCAGGCTTTGCTATGTACATGACTATGGAGATGAATGCCTTGTCTATAGGACCTTTTCATTTTTCAAATCTGAAATTTACTCTAGAATATGCTTCTTTGATTGTACACAATGCGTGGCTGGAGAACAGCCTTGCGAAATCTGGAGCAGTGCAAATTTTGACAGGTAGCTGGAGATGGGTTTCAGGTTCCGTATTGTTTCAGAGTGCAAATTAGGCAGGCTTGCCTTTCAATGCAAACTTAATCAAATATCTCCACTCACCTTCCCTCCTAGAGAAAAAACCCATCTCTCCATTTTGAGAGCAGCTTTTGCACTCTAAGCTTGTACAGTTCTCTGCTCCTGCACAATCTTTGAACATGTGCAAAAGCCGAGCAGGAGAATGACAGACTACAGCTCTATGCTGTAACAACTACCTCTTTTCCTCTGTATCTCTTGGCACATGTGTAAAGACTTTTGGTGGAAAGAAAGAGAGGAGAATGTGATTTGCCACATCTTTCTGTGCGTGCCAAAATTCTGTCCGATTCCCAGACGTGTCTGGGAAAATCTGGACGTACGGCAACCCTAACATAGGAACCTTGTATGCCTAAACTGTGGGGTCATATTTCAATTTATTTTTATTTATTTTTTTGTCCAAACGACAGGTTGAAAGAGGCATGATAGTTTCCAGAGCGTCTCTTGATTCTTTCAAGGACTTGCCACTCAGCCACCTGCCAGTTTTCTCCTCCTACCTTCTCTCTGTGTTTTTTTTTTTTTTAATTCCAAAACATTAGCAGCCTCTAGCAATCACCTTATCAAGGTTTTCCATTATCTGTAGGCACTGGAATGCCTGGAATCCATCGCTGGACTCCACAAGCCCTTCACCACAGTTGGCCTTACTTTACTTGCTTCTCAAATTTAGTTGACTTCCAGTTGTGTTCTGTTACCCTAGGGATTCATGCCATGAAGCCAGGAATGAGTGCTATTTAAATACTAGTGACAAGTGAGTTGCTAATTCCTGATATTTTTGTTGCATGGCTCAGTGTTCAGTATTCGGCAGTCAACTTCGTGTGCAAACAGTGCCTGCGTCATTACCGCATAGGGAGATAATTCCTTGTTTTGGCGTTTTGTATTGCGGTGGGGCTGCTGCTTATCCTTTCCTTTGCTCTGGGGTCTAAGCTAAGGTTACCAGATTTTTTTCAGTGAATCCGGGGACACTTCAATCAATCAATCAATCAATCAATCAATCAATCAATCAAATACTACACGTTCAGGACGTTGATGCTGCAGCAATGGCGGTGGCAGAGGGGCGGCCGCCGCCTTGACCTCAACCACCACATTTCCCCTTCCTTCGAGGCTTCTATCTCCTTTCTCCATGAGCCTGGGCAGCCCCTGAGTTCTTGGTTCTTTGGTGGTGGTAGGGAAGCAGTGTGCAGTGCGTCAGGCATGGAAGGCGGAGAAGGAGGGCCAAGAGTGGCAGCGGCGGTGAGGCTTGGGCACTGCGATGCCTCCCTTCCCATCAGAGCAGCCCCAATCCCATGCCTACTTGCGTGCAAGCAGGAGGGGGCAGGGATCCCTCAGCTGGGAAGGGAGGCTTCCCGTTGCCTAACTGAGAGATCCCTGCCCCCTCCTGCTTGCACACAAGCTCTGATAGGCAGCGTGAAGCCTCCCTTCACAGCTGAGAGATCCCTGCCCCGCTCCTGCTTGCACGCTAGTAGGAGTTGGGAGGCTGCTCCGATAGCCAGCATAAAGCCTCCCTTCACAGCTTAGTTGCTGGGGTCAGGGAAGGTGGAGACAGCCCGGAAGCTGCATCTTAGAGCCCCTGCACCACCATCATATGGGGACTTCCGAGCAGCTCCTGAAGCCAGCCAGAGCCAACTGCTCCGGGCTGCTGAAACTGCCGCTGCTGTGTTTCCTGGGGACATTAGATGAAATCTGGGGACATTCCGGGGATGGAATTTGCCCGGGGACTTATTTGCAAATCCGGGGACTGTCCCCGGGAAACGGGGACATCTGGTAACCCTAGTCTAAGCACATCCCCACTTGCATCAAACAATGCATCCAGCCGGTTCACTGGAACCCAGATGAGTATTGTAATAGAGGGGCAAATGCACTTCTAGATGCAAACTTACACCCATAATAGCTGCATGTGTAGAAGGACATTCTTCCTTCTTCAATGCAGCAATTGTGTTCTATTGATGTTTCCTTACCTTTGCTTCCCAAAAATATTGTTGTCAGTGCTCCCCCCCCAATGTTTAGGGGTATTTTCCTACTCATATTGAAGTACTGCCCCTCAATGAGGCCAAACTTAGATTCAAAAAATGTTTAGGGGTACCCCTGCGTCCTCCCAGAAAAAAGCACTGATTGTTGTTATTATTCATTTAACTATTTATTAAATCTGCGTCCGAAGAACTTTGGGGCGGTTCACAGCATAAAAATACAAAAAATACAAAAATAAAAACATGAAATACATAATAAGAACAAGAACAGAACAACCCCATAACCCCCACTCCTACAAAAAAGGACACAGAATATTAATCAGCCAAAGGCCTGGGCTGAAGAGGAATGTTTTTACCTAAAGCTGTATCATGAACTCACCAGTGAGCCTCCTTAGGGAAAGCTTTGCACAAACCGGGAGCCCCCACAGAAAAGGCCCATCCGCATGTTGCCACCCTCCCAACCTCATGTAGAGGGGACACACAACAAAGGATCTCAGAAGATGATTGCAGGGCCCAGGTTGGTTCATATAGGGAGAGGCAGCCCTTGAGCTGTTAAAATCTTTATTGGTCAATGCCAGCACTTTGAATTGGGCCCAGACACTAACTGGCAGCCAGTGCAGTCAGGCCGGAATCGGTGTAATACAGTGGTACCTCTGGTTACATACGCTTCAGGTTACAGACTCCGCTAATCCAGAAATAGTACCTCGGGTTAAGATCTTTGCTTCAGGATGAGAACAGAAATCGTGCAGCGGCGGCGCAGCAGCAGCAGCAGGAGGCCCCATTAGCTAAAGTGGTGCTACAGGTTAAGAACAGTTTCAGGTTAAGAACAGACCTCTGGAACGAATTAAGTACGTAACCAGAGGTAACACTGTATGTTCAAACCTTCTTGCCCTGGTGAGCAACCTGGCCACCGGTTTCTGCACCAGCTGAATTTTCTGAAGCATCTTCAGAGGCAGCCGCGGGTATAATGTGTTGCAGTAATCTACCAGACCATAGACAACGGAAGTGAGGCTATCCCTGTCCAGATAGGGGCGTAGCTGGGCCACCAGCCAAAGCTGATGGTAAGCACTCTGTGCCACTGAGACCACCTGACCCTCAAGCGACAGCAAAGGATCCAGGAGTAACCCCCAAGCTACGTACCTGCTCCTTCAGATGGAGTGTAACCCCATCAAGAGCAGGCAAGCTCCCACCCATCTGGTCCAGGGAACTGCCCACTAGCAGTGCCTCAATCTTATCAGGATTGAGCCTCAGTTTGTGAGCTCTCATGCAGTCCATTACTGAGCCAAGCAATAGTCCAGCACATCCCCTGCCTCACCTTCAGATGTAGAGGAGAAGGAGAGCTCCATGTCATCAGCATATTGCTGACAATGTACTTCAAAACTCTGGATAACGCCACTCGGTGGTTTCGTGTAGATGTTAAACAGCATAGGGGATAACATCAATGAAATATACTCTGAGTCGAGAGTGGATTTCATGCTCTTTATTCAGCTCAATGGTGAGGAGGAATGAAAGTTTCCCCAAAATACAGTGGTACCTCAGGTTAAGTACTTAATTCGTTCCGGAGGTCTGTACTTAACCTGAAACTGTTCTTAACCTGAAGCACCACTTTAGCTAATGGGGCCTCCTGCTGCTGCCGCGCTGCCAGAGCCCGATTTCTGTTCTCATCCTGAAGCAAAGTTCTTAACCTGAAGCACTATTTCTGGGTTAGCGGAGTCTTTAACCTGAAGCGTATGTAACCTGAGGTACCATTGTATCTGCTTTATATACATTATTTATACAATGGGCTGCACATGATTGGCTAATTCCGGGATTCTCCTGTAGGCCAATCAGGTTGTGGATTCACTTCCACCTGGGGCTGGATTGGGTGGCTCCTGCGGACCAATCAGACTGCTGCATTGTTCTAGGACCAATCAGACTGCTGCATTCTGGACCCTATTCAACTCAGTACATAACAATCAAATCCTGAGGAACCCCACACTGAAGGCTCCATGGGGCTGAAGAGCACTCCCTAAGCATCGCCCTCTGGAAATGACCATCCAAGTAGGACCGGAACCACTGCAAAGTAGGGCCACCCACCCCTAACTCAGCCCAGTGGCGTAGCATGGGTTGTCAGCACCCGGGGCAAGGCAAGTAATTTGCGCCCCCTAAACCGTGGATTTTAGTAGGGGCAGAGAGCTGCGAGTGCGAGCGCACGCCCCCGCGATGTTGCGCCCGGTGCGGCCAGCCCCCCCTGCACCCCCCACGCTACGCCACTGACTCAGCCAATAGTATCAAAAGCCACTGAGAGGTCAAGGAGAATTGACAAGGACACATTTCCCCTGTCTCTCCTGACTGAGGTCACCATACAAGGCGAGGAGTGGTGAGAAGTTCCAGGGGCCAAAAGTCGTCGAGAAAGCGCTAATGACTCAGGTGGTATTTGTTCATGGATGCACAAGCAGAACATAAACAGAGGCAAACAGGATTCCCACCTCCCGCAAGCATCAGATTCCCAGAAAACTGTTTGTACAGAACTCCAAGGCTATGCTTCTGGGGTGATTCCACACTAGGTTTTTCAGTTAATTTGCATGTTTGTTTTATTCAGTTTACATTCCATGTTTGAGTATTGCATAGTAAGTGCAAATCAGGTAAAGGTAAAGAGACCCCTGACCATTAGGTCCAGTCATGGCCGACTCTGGGGTTGCAGCGCTCACCTTGCTTTATTGGCCGAGGGAGCCGGCGTACAGCTTCCGGGTCATGTGGCCAGCATGACTAAGCCGCTTCTGGCAAATCAGAGCAGCGCACGGAAACGCCGTTTACCTTACCGCTGGAGTGGTACCTATTTATCTACTTGCACTTTTGACGTGCTTCCGAACTGCTAGGTTGGCAGGAGCAGGGACCGAGCAACGGGAGCTCACCCCGTCACGGGGATTCGAACTGCCGACCTTCTGATTGGCAAGTCCTAGGTTCTGTGGTTTAACCCACAGCGCCACCTGTGTCCCTGCAAATCAGGTAGGTTCACATAAAAAATGTGAATTGACCCGAGTTCCCACCCGCCTCCCTAGCTGCAAGCCGTGGATTTTCACCCAAATGTTCACCAGCTTGCCACATAGTTCTGGCCCCAGATTCACGTGCGCTTATTTTGCTTGTGGAGCGCATGGATGGACTGCGGTGCGTACGTGTGTTCCTTTCCTCTGCAAGATGTATCTCTCCTTCCTGGAATATCTTTTTACGTAATCGCTCGGCGCTTCCGTCCCAAGGACCAATAGCTCTGGGCAAAGTGATGCCTTCGGAGTACTTAACAAGTTTCAGACCTAACGAATCCGAACACTTAAGAGAGCCCAAGGGACGCTGCTCTTGACAGTCTTATGGGTGCCCTGAGCTAACCTTGCAAAGGCGTCAGGGGGAAGGCGGATGCGCGTGTAAAAAGGGTCAGAACTGAAAGCTTTTTGCCTTGACAGTTTTAGATGAATGAGGACTTTCAGTCCGAGATGCGTTCCCCTTCCTCCCTGCCACCTTGAGTGCTGTTCAGAGGAGCACCAGCATGAAACAATAGCACTTCAGAGGACCTCCAGAGAATCCTCTTAAGTATGCTCTGCTATTCCTTTCCGGCACCGCAGCGGCCATTTCTTCTATCAGACGCGGGAGGGCGAATGAGGGCGTAAGGTCCCCTCACGTGCAAAGTAAGTAAATTGAACTGGGAGTGCGGGGAGAGGTCTGCTTATCCAATGAAAAAAATGCACAGAGCTGCCCTGGCCATGGGAATAAATGGGAAAGCCTGTTCATATAGCAGCTGTATGTGCCCACTAGAGCATCATGTGTCCCAGGTGTGGCGCAACGGATTGAGCACAACAGTCCACTTCCACATTCAGTTCTTCATTTCATTGGGCATACCATGTTACTTTAGAAGTGAGAGGAGGTGTCTCGCTCCAGGAACAGAGTAGAAGCTCTGTTCAGTCCACAACTGAAGGTGGATCCATCTATTTCGCTCTTCCCGACGTGTAGAAAAACACATATCTTGGGGGAATGTGTATGATAATCATATATTTGTGAAAATAACGTACAGAAATGATTAATATTGGGCAAAGTTGTCTGTCTTCTGCTTGAAGACCTCCACTGAGCAAGAGCCTATCATTCCTTTAGCTAACTGGACCCAAGGTCAAACTGCTGTTACTATGAAGAGGTTTCTCCTAACATTCAGCTGAAATGAAAGCAAATGTAAAGGTAAAGGGACCCCTCACCATTAGGTCCAGTCGTGACCAACTCTGGGGTTGCGGCGCTCATCTCGCTTTATTGGCCGAGGAGCCGGCGTACAGCTTCCGGGTCATGTGGCCAGCATGACTAAGCCGCTTCTGGCGAAACCAGAGCAGCGCACGGAAACGCCGTTTACCTTCCTGCCGGAGCAATACCTATTTATCTACTTGCACTTTGCTGTGCTTTCGAACTGCTAGGTTGGCAGGAGCAGGGACCGAGTAATGGGAGCTCACCCTGTCGTGGGGATTCGAACCGCCAACCTTCTGATCTGCAAGTCCTAGGCTCTTGGGTTTAAACCACAGCGCCACCAACGTCCCGAAAACAAATGTAGTAAATAATTTAAAAAGGACATTCTTTGCACTGTAAAAATGATCATTTAGAAAGGAGATTTGATCAGGCATACTTCCAAGCTTTTTTCTCTACAACCTTAAGGTCTGGAAATTTGTGTCTTTTTCAACAAAAAAGAAAACTGGGATCCTAAGGCTGCCAAATTCTGCACTGTTTACCAGATGCCGGACTTGTGTTGTCATTCCATAGATGCAAATAATAGTCACATGTCTGATTTAAGGCACTGTACTGTGCAAGGGGTCACCTTATGCACGGGTTACGTAGGTGCTGTTTTTATGGAGACCAAAGATCAGCTGGCTGCATTCTGACATGCATTCCTTCTCCTGCTGCTGCCTGCCCTTTTTCCTTCCCTGCCTGGTGAGCATACAGCCTTTCATTCATTCAAAGGTCTAGCTTTAAAAGCCAGATCCGAAGCTGCTTCTTTTAAATTCCAGGACAGCCAGAGTAACCTTTGATTCCACACTTCAGTTTTCAAATGGAAAGACTGCAGGAAGAAGCAGACAAAGGGGGAAAGGGCAGAAACAGACAAACAGAGTGATAAAGGTGGGGTTAGAGAGCCTCCTCTTTTGCTACATTCCACAAGTCCTAAATATTTCCAATTTTTCATAGTTTTCTGTCCCAAGAGCTGCAAAGTGATATATTTTTTTTAATAAACCTGGGCTTGCCTTGATTCAATAAAAACTATAGATGCATGCAGTTAAAAGTAAAAAAGTAAAAAATTCTTTGCTTTAAATCTCTCTCTACTTCCTGGTGCATTTAAAAATATATTACTTCTAACCGCTTTAGAGAAAAGTAGGAAAGTAGTATCTATTAATATTTAATTGAATCAGATCCTTCCAACTCCCTGCTGCAACCACGTGATTTGCCTTTGTCTTGATAAAGAAGAGTGCTTCCTTTTCACCGCCATATACATATTTGATTTCTTTGTGCACATAGCTAGATCTAAGCCCAGTTGCCTTACTTAAACTGCGGATGAGGAACCTTAGATGTCCCTCCCCACGTGTGGTTTACGAATGTCAGGAATCCACTCCCTAGGATCGGAAATGTCTCTAAATTAACTCTCCAAGGGTGCGCTAGCAAATCCTATGATCTGATTGCTTGCACATTTCCCAGGTAAAGTGCTGTCTGCCAGGACAGCTGAGGCAGCTATGTATTATTTAAACATTGACTGAGGAGGAAGGGGAACACACCATCATGCATTAATCAGGATCATGCGTATGAATTTGCTTATTGCCAAGAGAGCTTTGATAGGCGCAAGGAGCCCCCGAACAGTGGGACAGAGGAAGATCCCTGCTGGGTCAGACAAAAGGCCTATCCGGTCCAGCATCGTGGAACTTTAGAGTTGGAAGGGATCATGAGGGTCATCTAGTCCAACCCCCTGCAATGCAGGAATCATTTGCCCAGCATGGGGCTCGAACCCACAACCCCAGGATTAAAAGTCTCATGCTCTACCAACTGAGCATGTTCCCCGCCATGGCCAAGCAGATGCTTCTGGGAAGTCCACAACCAGGACACCACATCAGTCTCCCTCTCCCATTGTTGTTCTTCAGCACCTGGTCTTCAGGCTTGTTCCTTCTGGAGGTAATATACAGCCATAATTGCTATAAGTCATAAATAGCCTCATTCCCTGATCCAAAACACTCACCCACATGAAAACAAAGACCACCACAGCCAACCACAAATGAACAACCACACCCTAGGCCAACCCCAACCTCTCTCATCACCAAAGGAACACAAGTGAACAGCAAAGAACCTGCACAAGCAACGCTGACACCAAACCCTACATACATTAAGCAAAATAGAAACATCGCCACCCGACCCCACCCAACTTCCCCCCCCCTCCACCTCTTTCCCCCTTTTCTTCCCAAATGAAACTGATTTGCAAAAATGTTACATGGAAAAATATATACAGTGGTACCTCGGGATACATATGCTTCAGGTTACATACGCTTCAGGTTACAGATTCCGCTAACCCAGAAATAGTGCTTCAGGTTAAGAACTTTGCTTCAGGATAAAAACAGAAATTGTGCTCCGGCGGCGCGGCAGCAGCAGGAGGCCCCATTAGCTAAAGTGGTGCTTCAGGTTGCAAACAGTTTCAGGTTAACAACGGACCTTTGGAATGACTTAAGTACTTAACCTGAAGTATCACTGTATATACGAGAGAGAGACATTGCACACACTTTTGTAAATCAATAAAATCTTTAATTAAAAAAAAATAAATAGCCTCATTCTGCATGAATCTGTCCGGTCCCCATTTAAAACCACCTGAGCTAGTGGCTGTGGCCACACCTTTCATTAGCAATTTTTTTACTTTCACTATCCATGACATGTGTGGTGTGACATCATCATCATCATCATCATCATCATCATCATATTTTTTTATTATACCCCGCCCTCCCCAGCCAAGGCCGGGCTCAGAGCGGCTTACAAGCAATAATAAAAACAAGATGAATGATTACAACTTAAAAACAAAAAAAAATTACAACATTAAAATAATGGAACATTAAAATATTAAAATGTAGCGTCATCGCAGGAGGAGAAGGAAAAGAAAAAAGAAAGAGAGGGAGGGAGGGAGGGAATCAAATTGGCTCCAAGCCAAAGGCCAGGCGGAACAACTCTGTCTTACAGGCCCTGCGGAAAGAAATCAGATCCTGCAGGGCCCTGGTCTCATGAGGCAGAGAGTTCCACCAGGCCGGAGCCAGTGTTGGAAAGGCCCTGGCTCTGGTTGAGGCTAATCTAACTTCCATCATGATGTCACGTGGCCTCAGAACCTGGTGGCACCGGAAGTCAGGTTCCGAGGTCTTGCAAGGCCTCGGACGTGACTTCCAGTGCTTTGTGAGGCATCACAAGTTGCATAGGGGCCCCGTGGTGTAGGTGCTGAGCACCCACAACAAAAATTTTGTGGGTGCTTGGGGCCCTGGGGGTCCCTAGAGATGGTGTCCGCACACTGTGTGAAGGACTTCCTTTTCCTGTCCTCGTCAGCTGCATTAGATGGCCACAGGCTCTCGTTTCAAGAGAGCGAAACTTCTCTCCATACAGCTTGTCTTCAGAACATAGCTTCCCCATTCATCCCAGTGGAGCCCATTGATCTTCTGAGCATTCAAATCAGGTCTGCCCAATGAATGATGAAGTGCATGCTCACATGAGCTCTCTGTACCCATCAGGATACGCACATTGCAGTGGGTCATTGTGTGGTGTGTGTCTGTTTTGAAGTATGAGCCCAAGCACATGTCAGTTTCTGATCTCAGCTCTAGCTGCAGATACATCAGAGGAACCCCAGGAAATGATGCATCTTCTCCAGCAGGGACATATGATGGACCATAAGAACAACACTGATCTGGCAGTACGGAGGCAATCAAATATCAACCAGATTGGTAGCCAAGCCGCAACGCTGGCAGGTTATCCTTCTGCAGGTAGAGTCAGAAGCCCCTTGTGTTACCTCCAACATTTATTCTGTGAAAATAGGGACATCCGGTGGCGCTGTGGATTAAACCACAGAGCCTAGGACTTTGCGATCAGAAGGTTGGCGGTTCAAATCCCCACAACGGGGTGAGCTCCCATTGCTCGGTCCCTGCTCCTGCCAACCTAGCAGTTCGAAAGCATGTCAAAGTGCAAGTAGATAAATAGGTACCACTCCGGCGGGAAGGTAAACAGCACTTCCATGCGCTGCTCTGGTTCGCCAGAAGCAGCTTAGTCATGCTGGCCACATGACCCGGAAGCTGTACGCCGGCTCCCTCGGCCAGTAAAGCGAGATGAGCGCCGCAACCCCAGAGTCGGCCGCGACTGGACCTAATGGTCAGGGGTCCCTTTACCTTTACCTTTAAGGAAAAGCGGGACATTCCAGAATTAAATCAGAAACTGTAAATCTGGGATTGTCCCTGGAAAATAGGGACACGTGGATGGTTTCTCTGCCTACAATAACACATTCTGGCAATTTGCAGTGGTGACACTGAAGCCCAGCAGAGTGCAATCCTGACAGGCAACCATAGTGGTACAGAGTTCAAGGCATATGGGTCCTCCTGGCAGAGTCCAAGTTCAAGACCTACAGCATCTTATCACCTGGCCTCCAAGCAGGTGCTCCACTGATACAGGACATTTCCACATGAGCCACTGTGGGGGGAAATGGCAAGCACAGCTCTCCCATAATGTTTGATTCAAGCCGTTCTCTAACCCAGACCCTCAACTTCCCCATTTATTTATTTATTTATTAAAACAATTTTTATTGAATGATTTTATGTTACAAAAAACAATACAGCCATACTACCACTAAATATAATTAAGAAATAAGAATTACATACATCGATATTTAGTTTGTTATTTGTTATTTACCGTCTTATTTCCTCCCAAACATTTCATACAACAACACACATATGTGCAGACACCCACACACCCGCACCCGCACATAAAATGATAATAATGAAAGTAAATATTTTTCCCCTTTTATCTTCCAAAATCTTTTCTTCAACTTTGACTTCCTGTCAAGTCCCTTTGCATATATTTTATCTTACATTTGAATGTACACAAAACAATAGACCTTTCTATATAATTTTTCTAATACATTCTGAAAACATAATAAATCCTTAATTGTTGTCCACCTCCTTTTAGTTCCTTTATCACTCGAATGCTAGCACAGAGTCAAAACTATTATTGTATTTTTGAACATATCTTCTATAACCATCCCATTTAACTTCCCCATTTATTTTAAGAGAGACTTTAGGGCAGCTCCACCTGTGCGAAAGCGTTTGTGTGAAGTTGTTGCCTCCACCGAAATCTCGCAAGGAGCCTTTTCTGGGTGGGTGAGTCCCATGTCTACTGGGGTCTCTGCAGGGTACGTAAGACATTGCTAGATGAGTGCACAGAAGCTTAAAGAAAATAAATAGGAGAGACTGAATATCTGCAAGTTGGTGAAATCCAAAACGCCCGCCCACACCTTCTTCTTGCTCAAGTGCAATAATTCGTATCAGATTCAGGGTGGAGTTCGATGCAATTTCTCTGCCACAATTTCAGCTGGAAGAACCAAACGCTGCATAAATAAAGGGCCGTTTCTCCCACATGAGTACAAAGGGAAATGATGTAATCGGAGCAGAACCATTTGTACCACAATAGCAGAGGATCTGTCAGCACTCACTCCTATAAACTCTTACTTTTCAGGGGTTTACAGCTAAGCTCAAAAATATTTGGGCTGGATTGTAACTTCCTGTGCTGGGCTGCAAGCCTGAAAAGATTTATTTTTTGAATTAAATCAGAATCATTTTTATGTTTTTTTAAAAAAATTAAATTGCTTCCCTTCACAAAGAGAACAACAAACAAAAATGCTGAAATTGGATGCTAGCCATTCAGTGGGGGGTGGAGGGTGGGATGATGGAGGACCCCTTGCCTGCTGTAGATTTGAAACAAAATGCTTGAATGCATGTCTTATACTTTCAAACATATCGGGGTGAAATCACAATATGCATATTCCTGCTAAGTGATGATGGATTACAGGACTTTGTTGAAATGTCCTGGGCTCTTGTCTCATATCCGTAGGCTTCCTGGGACATAGTGCGTGGCCTTGTGTTGAGTCAGAAGTACAGTACAGTGGTACCTTGGTTCTCAAACACCTTGGCTGAAATATACTCGGAGTCGAGAGTTGATTTCATGCTCTTTATTCAGCTCATAGTGGTGAGGAGGAATGGAAGTTCCCCCAGAATGTCTGCTTTAAATACATTATTTACACAATGGGCCCCACGTGATTGGCTAATTCCGGGATTCACCTGTAGGCCAATCAGGTTGCGGATTCACTTCCACCTGGAGCTGGATTGGGTGGCTCCTGTGGACCGATCAGACTGCTGCATTTTGGATCCTATTCAACTCAGCGCATAACATTGGTACTCGAACAACTTGGAACCCAAACGCTACAAACCTGCAAGTAAATGTTCCAGTTTATGAACTTTTTTTGGAAGCCGTGCGTGCTCTGTTTTGAGTGCCACGCTTCCATTTTGAGTGCCACACTTCCGTTTTGAGTGTTGCACTGAGGTCTGTCTCTTTTTGCTATTTATTTTGCGTTTATGTTTTTGAGGCTCTTTTTGTTTTTGTGACTGTATGGAACCCAGTTCAGCTACTGATTGATTGGTTGTGTGACTGCAGTACATTGTTGATTGCTTTCATTTTATCGATCAGTGGTCTCGTTAGATAGTAAAATTCATGTTAAATTGCTGTTTTAGGGGTTGTTTTTAAAAGTCTGCAGCAGATTAATCCGTTTTGCATTACTTTCTATGGGAAAGCACGCCTTGGTTTGGAATGCTTTGGTTTTGGAATGGACTTCCAGAAGTTTGAGAACCAAGGTACCACTGTACATCTTGTTCAGCATTGTCTCCTCTAACCAGCAGCTATTCTTCAGGATTTCAGACACAGAATCTTGCCCAGATCTGCTTGGAGATGCCGATGTTTGAAACTGGGACATTCTGTCTAACACTGAGCTATAGGTCTTTCCTTACATCTTTAAACTCACATTCCTGCCAGCACATATGAGTTAACATGTATGTATGTATACATATTCCACCCGTCCTCCCAAAAAAGCCTAGGGCAGCAAAACCCATCTGTGATTTTAAAAATGCAATTACGGAAATAAGAAACGCAATTAAACAATTTAAAACCCATTAAAGACACCTGAAAACAATTAGAATCAAGCGTTTAAAGCAAATTTTAAAAAGAGGTGTCACCAAATCACGTGTCTGGACAGGTCCCCAAAACATAAAGGTTTTCAGCAGGTGGCTAATAGAGTTAAGTGATGGCAGGGAGTTCCAAAGGTAAAGGAATGCCACAGTAAAGGAATATTTCCTTACAAATGTGGAAAACAATGTGTAGAAGTGCAAGTTCCGCAGATCCGATTGGCACGAATGGGGCAAGGCGGTCCCTTAAGCAAATTGGTCTGGTATATGCATCATTGTATGCAATTTTGCATAATATAATGCCTTTATGTACGCTGCCTTCACTAATATAAGAATTATTGTGCACACTTTTCCCCAATGCACACTTTTCCTGCATCCATTTATTTGGTTAAAGGTAAAGGGACCCCTGACCATTAGGTCCAGTCGTGACCGACTCTGGGGTTGCGGCGCTCATCTCGCTTTATTGGCCGAGGGAGCCGGCGTACAGCTTCTGGGTCATGTGGCCAGCATGACTAAGCCGCTTCTGGCAGCACATGGAAACGCCGTTTACCTTCCCGCTGGAGCGGTACCTATTTATCTACTTGCACTTTGACGTGCTTTTGAACTGCTAGGTTGGCAGGAGCAGGGACTGAGCAACGGGAGCTCACCCCGTCGCGGGGATTCGAACCTCCGACCTTCTGATCGGCAAGCCCTAGACTCTGTGGTTTAACCCACAGCGCCACCCGTGTCCCATTTATTTGGTTAGAAGAGTGCAAATTTCAAGGGATAGCTGCGATTCAGTTTGCGCACTGGTTCAGCGTGTGCAGATTTGATGCAATTCCTCCCCATCCCTGATCAGAGACGATGGGAGGTGATGCCTCTGAGTTTCTAAAGCCACAGAAATACTCCGGGCCTCTTTCCAGCCCCTGTTGGAAACTGTCCCTGGAAACCGAGCTTGGAGTAGTTAGTCGTGTCCTCCTGCTCGGAGAACGAAAGAGCCAAACGTGATATCACTTATATAATGCGAACAGCCCTTCATCATTTATTTAGCATATAAATAAATAAAGCACAAGGAAATGGCAGAAGCCGCGATGAGTCTGGCGGATTAAACGCGGGCCACCAGACAGTTTCCTTCTTCTTTTTTTGCAGCTTTTCTGACCTGGCTGTTACGACACTTAAGCATCCAGATTTGGTGGCTGAAAGGACCTTTCACCACCTTCAGCTGATCTGTCAGGTGCAATCCTCCCTGGACTGGAAAATCCTGGCCACAGGTTATCGATGCACTCAGGGGTGCCATCTCACCCTCAGGATTGTGGGTGCCCAGCGCTGCTACATGGATGCGTAATGTGACATGCACATGCCTGATGTGTGACATCAAACGCAATATGTCCCCTTTTCCCTAGGGAGGGGCGCGGACTTGGAAGCAGAGAGACTGCCTCCATGTACGAGCTCCACCCCCCAGAAAATGGTGCCTCGCTGGCTGGCTGCGGAGGGCGGTGCTGAATTGCTTCTCTCTCGGGGGCAATGCTTTTTTCATTGACTTTGTGGGTGCCCAGCCCCCACATTTACCGTATTTTTCGCTCCATAAGACGCACTTTTTTCCTCCTAAAAAGTCAGGGGAAATGTCTGTGCGTCTTATGGAGTGAATGTGTGGTCAATCGCTGGCTCCCTTTCTGGCCCTGCCCCCTTGCCCAGGACTCCATTGTTGAATGTTCTGCAAGTGACTGGCTGATTAGATTACCTGTCTGGAAACTGTAGAAACGGTTCCCTTCCTTTCCTAAAGAAGCTGCAGAACTGTGAGTTGAACCCCATTTAATACAGGATTTTTTCCCTTTGCAATAAAAGCTCAACAACTTTGAACTGATGCTCAAAAAAGGGTCTTTTCCCCTTTGCAAAAGAAGCTGCACAACTTTGAGCTGATCCTCAAAAAACCGGGGCTTTCCCCCTTTCCCCCTCTAAAAACTATGTGCGTCTTATGGTCGGGTGCGTCTTATGGAGCGAAAAATACGGTATATCATTGTGGGTGCCCAAGCACCCACAACCCCTTGGATTTGGCTCCTATGTATGCACACAAGCCTGGAGACTTGATTACTATAACATACTCACAAGAACAGGCTGTTGGCGACATAAGCCGGTGAGGCGTAATGGTTAGAGCGTTGGACCCGGACCTGGGAGACAGGGGTTCGAATCCTCACCTGGGCATGAAGCTCACTGGCTGACTTTGGGCCAGTTGCTCCATCTCAGCCTAACCCAGTGGTGTCGCAAGGGGGGGGGGGCGGTGTGCCCCAGGTGCCATGTCTGGGGGGTGACAAGAAGGCACCCCGCGGGGTGCTCACCCCGCTGCTCCCGGGCGCAGCAGCCAGGCCCAGACAGAAGGGTGGGGGGCCATATGGGCCACTTGGCCCGGGCCTCCGATTCCAAAGGGGGCCTCGGTCAGCAAATTTATATTTTCCATCATGTCTCTATATGCAGATACGGTTCAAGCCTTGAAATAAAATTATTTGTCAGCATAAATGTTGTGAAAATTATTTATATACAGTGGTACCTCGGGTTAAGTACTTAATTTGTTCTGGAGGTCTGTTCTTAACCTGAAACTGTTCTTAACCTGAAGCACCACTTTAGCTAATGGGGCCTCCTGCTGCCGCCGCACCGCCGAAGCACAATTTCTGTTCTCATCCTGAAGCAAAGTTCTTAACCCGAAGTACTATTTCTGAGTTAGCGGAGTCTGTAACCTGAAGCGTATGTAACCTAAGGTACCGCTGTACTTACTTATTTATAAGGCTTCAGTTATCCCCAGGCTAAAAAAAAAGGGGGGGCACATTATCTACCTGGCCCGGGCCTTTGCCTGGCCCTGCAAGGCCCTGGTGGTGGCGCAAGCAGCCATCGTGCCACTGCAAGCCGCGAGCGGAGGATCCTGCCACCGTCCGTACAGCACTCAGGCGGCACCAGCGGCAAACCGCTATGTACAACGCATGTGCGGTGTCACACGCCTGCACTGTACATAGCGATGCCGCACATGTGCTGTCCATAGCAGTTTGCCACCGCTGGCGCCCGAGCGCCGTACGGACGGCAGTGGGATCCCTCCATCGCCACTACAGCCGCAAGCGGAGGATCCCTCTGCTGCTGCGAGCAGAAGATCCCGCCACTGTCCGTATGGTGCTTGGGCGCGCCAACGGCAAACCTCTATGTACAACACATGCACGGTGTCGCACGCATGTGCTGTACGTAGCAACGCCGCACATGTGCCCTATGTAGCGACACCACGCATGTGTCATACGTAGAGACGCCCCACGTGCATCATACGTAGCAGCGCAACGCATGCGCAGCCGGCGGTTTGCCCCGCCCCGGGTGTTAGTTAGCCTTCGTTCGCCCCTGGCCTAACCTACCTCGCAGTGTTGTTGTGAGAATAAAACAGAGCCTTGTGCTTCTTGGAAGAAAAGGCGGGGCACAGATGCAATGCATACAAATAAACAAATAGTTTTCCCCTTGCTAAGAAAGCTTCACTGGCTGAAGATCTGCTACCAGGCCAGGTTCAAAATTATTCCGCAAAGTCCTGAATGACTTGGGCTCAAAGTACCTTAAGGACCATGTGGCTCCTCAGTCACGGAGATCTTCTGATGGATTGCTTCTGGTGGCTCCCTCATGCCCCATAGGAGTGGGTGGCCTTTACCAGCAACCAAGCTTTTAATATGGTGGCCCCTGCCCTGTGGAACTCCTTGCCAATAGAAGTCAGTGGGACTCTTCCCTGCTTTTGTTTAGACACCTTTTTCAAACTTGTACTTTTTAGACAAAACCTTTGGAACGTGGTTTATTCCCCCCCCCATAGAATTTATTAAAGTTTGAAAGAAAATATACAAACGTTAATATTAAATACCCAATATCGTTTTGTCATAAGAAACCAATATAAACAAAAATACAAACCCAAGGGGGGCGGAGAGAGAAAAGAGTAAAAGAGAGCGAGAAAACTTCTGATTCTTTGACTGTCAGCCATATACAGACCAATATATAAACCAATATTTTCTTCAGTCCTCAAACCCAGATATCATAAGTTCATTTTCTTTTTCACACAAAAAAGTCTATAAGGGATTTCCGATCTTTAGTAAATATTAACATTGATTCCCCCCGCTTAAAGATGTCAGCTTTGCCATCCCAGCTAAGTCCAATAATTTTAACATCCATTCCTCCACGGTAGATAATGATGAATCTTTGGAAATTGTTTATTGACCTGTGACCAACGTTTTTGCTGATGTTATTATTGCAATATTGTGCTTCATGTTGAATATCGCCTTGTTATATTTCCCATGGAAGCGCCAATAATATTTAAATAAAGAACACAAAGAATCAGGGACAGCCAATCGTTCCACGTACTTGGGCGATCTCTCCCTTCCTCCTTCCTCTCTGATCTGCACCTCCTTCCTCCTCCGCCTTTTGATCTGATATTCCAAAGTCTGCCCTCCTCCTTGAAGTATAATAACACTCTTCCATCCATGGTACTCACATTCATGCTTTTTTAAAAAAAACATTTTCACCAATTAATTTTTATTACTTCTCCAAATTTTTAACGGATTAACAACAAATTGCCATAATTCAAATTTAACACAAATTTAAAAATTGACTTTCCACCCCCACTTCAAGCTGCTTCTTTCCCCTCCCTCCTTTGCTGCTCACAATAAAATGTTTTATACGATTCATACTGTGATCAAACAGCTTCTTAGAACAACTGGGTGGAGCTGGTGTTAATCTTTTATCGCTGAGGCAGCTATTGAGGCAGTTCGTATGTTTCTCGTCTTTGTATCTCCTGCGGCTAAATGTAGGAGCCAGCTGAACAGAAAGTCATTGCATTTGAAGTGATCTGGAAGTTTGGCTCAAGGCAGGAATAGGCAAAACTGCAGCCGTCCAGATGTTGTTGGACTCCTCTGCGCAAGCCAGCATCCGGGATGATGTCAGGTCAGGGATGATGGGAGTTGGAGTCCGGCAACATCTGCCAGCCACTTGGTCCTCGTGTCTAATCTGTGATGACTCATTCCCATATGCAGTGGTGTCCAGGAGGGCCAGATTTGATGAAGTGAAGGGCCATGAGGGCCGACCAAAGTTGTTAACCTTTTTTTAGGATTGAAGTTGATGAGCTTTTTTTTAAAGGATTTTACTCCAGGAAATATACTGCCACAGGGGCCAGATTAAATCGACTGTCGGGCCGGATTAGGCCCCCGAAATGGACTTTGGACATGCCCGTCATATGGAGTACATCACTTGATGCTTCTGTCATCAAGTGACAACCAGCTGTGCCATTTGGACTGGTGTTATGCTCTATTTGCATGTCAAGGCCCCAAGCCCCTGCTATTTGATGAATAATAAAACACACGGACACCAGTATTTTGGGTTAATGGGATAATTAAGGCCACAGCGTTATTGGTAACAGAATGTGAGTGGTGTTGGCTTAGGCACTGGAATTGAACCGACTATATCTGACTCCTGCCCACCATGCAAGTACCGTATTTTTTGCTTTATAAGACTCACCTTTTCCCTCCTAAAAAGTAACGGGAAATGTGTGTGCGTCTTATGGAGCAAATGCAGGCTGCGCAGCTCTCCCAGAAGCCAGAACAGCAAGAGGGATTGCTGCTTTCACTGCGTAGTGGACCGGCCCCCTGCTGAAAAAGTTTGCCGACCCCTAGGATATAGGCTATCCTATACCCACTTACATGTCATTACGCCACATTGAAATCAATGGAATTTTACAACTATGTTAATCAGATATTATTTATCAGATCAAATAAGGTACTCCAGATATCACTGGCCCTACTTTGTTCTAAACCAAAGACAGGAGACCAGATGGTTGCTGGAATACAGCTTCCATTAACCCCGCCCACTGACTGGGGTTGATGAAAGCTGGAGTCCCAACATTTTCAGGACTGGGTTTCCCATCCCTGATTCAGAATAAGCTTTAGCTATGGTAAACCCCAGGCCAATGGAAGTTTTGTGGGAAATAATAATTGGCCAAGAACTCAAACAAGGGATAATGAATCAGATTCGTTAGTGGCCTTGTTCTTTGTGAGCATTAATGCGCAATTAATCAATATTCCGCTTCCACTCATGCTAGTTGCAATGCTTGGGGGCTGGTTTTTTGTTTGTTTGTTTTGATATAATCGTATACAATTAATGAAGCGCTTTTTTTCCTCCAAGTGAAATCTGAATTTAATTGTAAGGCTTTATTGGGAACGATACAATGAAGTATTCATTAATTCAAAGAGTCTTTTTTCATTTACATGTGCGGGGATCCTGATTTTTCTTTCTAGGCATTGCTAAAATAATATTTGCTACAGACTGTAAAATGCTACATATTTCTATAGGGAACTGGCTCTCCCTTAGGGCGACATTCCTGCAAAGCACATAATTTATGCTGAAAACTGTGGTAGGATTTGGCAGCTTACAGCTGTAGGCAGGATGGCAGCCTAGGTCTTTAACAAATGCTGTTTGATGTCTTTCATTTAAATGGTAAATCACACAGTGCGGCATTCAGTTTAAGCTTGTACAAAGGAGCGTGGGATGCAGAACGGATCATAATACGTGTGAAATATTCCCCCCTTTCTGCCTTAAATTGTTTTGTAATTCTGGATCGTGAGCATGTTGACCTTCAGGAAAATGCACACTTTGCTGAATGCACAGAAAAGCTGTCTACCGTATTTTTCGCTCTATAGGATGCACTTTTTCGCCTCCAAAAATTAAGGGGAAATGTGTGTGCGTCCTATAGAGCGAATGCAGGCTGCACGGCTAAGCCCAAAGCCAGAACAGGGAGACAGAGCGCTGCGCAGCGCAGCGCTCCGTCTCGCTGTTCTAGCTTTGGGTTAGCTGTGCAAAGCCTCCGCAGGGCAGCGGGGTGCCTTCATCCCGCTGCCCTGCAGAGGCTTCACGGGCTGCCCCAGAAGCCAGCTTGGGGATGGCTGCGCAAAGCCTCTGCAGGGCAGCGGGGTGCCTTTACCCCGCTGCTCTGCGGAGGCTTCAAAGGCTGCGCTCCGGGGGCTTCAGGCAGCTATCCACAAGCCTTTGGAGCGCAGCAGGAGTTCCCGCTGCGCTCTGAAGGCTTGCGGATAGCTGCCTGAAGCCTGGAGTGTGAGAGGGATTGGTGCACACCGACCCCTCTTGCTCTCCAGGCTTTGCTTCGCTGGAGAGGCGTTGCACAGTTTTCCTTCTCTGCGTAGCGCCCCTTCAGCGAAGCGGGAGGAGAAATGGAAGGGGCTCCGTTTCTCCTACTGCTTCGCTGAAAGGGTGCTGAGCAGAGAGGGGGAGAATTTCCCCCCCCGTTCTCCCCCTCCTATGGTCCGGTGCGTCCTATAGAGCGAAAAATACGGTATGTGCTGCAGCTGAGTTGCAGAACACATGACTTGCATGCAAATGGTGGCAGGATCAGTTCCTGGTACCTCTGTGTAGAACTGAGAAAGTCTCTGCTCTACAACCTTGAGACAGCCAGTGTAGATCAGAGGTGGCTAACCTGTGATGCTCCAGAGCTTGCTAGACTACTTAGGAGGCTGCCTTGTACCAAGTCAGTCCATGGGTCCATCTACTTCAGTGTTGTCTACACTGGCTGGCAGCAGCTCTCTGGGGTTTCAGGCGGCGACTCTTTCCCAGCCCTTCCTGGAGAGGCCAAAGGGATTGAACCTGGGACCTTCTGCATGCAATCAGATGCTCGGCCACTAACCTGCGGACCATCCCTGTACACCATAGCTGTCAACTTACAGATTTGAAAATAAGGGACCAGCAGCCTTGAAAATAAGGGATCAGCAGCCAAATTAAGGGATTTCCTTTTCCTACACCATGTGCCCCCGCTCCAGACAGACCTTTTCCCCAGCAAGGGTGAGTGGGCCGTCGATGACGTATCCGTCCAATTCCGAGCACAGGTATGTTCAGCTTCTGAGCCCCTCCGAGCCAAAGGCAGAAAGCCCAGCCAGGAGCCAAACAAAGCTTCAAGTGGTGGTTCCCACAGCGCAGCAACCCGGCAAAGGGGATGCAGCAAGGAAAACCACCGTCACCTCTCCGCTGGGAAGCGCTGAGCAAAGGTGAGTCCCCAGGCAACACGGCCGATTTGATCGGCACAAGGCATGCAAGCTCCACCCCCCAGTCGTTCTTAGACTCCTTATTGGGTGAGCAATGCAGCCAAGCAACACAGTTGGAGCCTCCCTCCTCCCTGGCCGGCAGGGAGGGAAGGAGAGAGAGGAGCTGCTTCCTTTGAAACCCGGGAAATTTATGGGATATCATCAATCCGGGACAGCAGCGGGACACGGCACTGGGATAAGGGAGTTTCCCGCCAAATAAGGGACGATTGACAGCTATGCTGTACACTACAAATCCCATCATCCCTGTCTACTGATCAGGCTAGCTGGGGGGCTGTTGGGAGTTGGAATCCAACAGCATTTGGAGGACCACAGATGAACCACCTCAGCTGCAGACAATACTGAGCTAGAGAAATATGTGGTCTGATTCAATGCAAGGCAGCTGCCCAGATGTCAGAGACCAGGCTGAGGAGTACTGTTCTGATGAGGAATGGTGGGAACCTCACCCTTGCTCTACTCCTGACCAGGATCCTGAAGCTGCCCAGCAGCAGTTGAGCAGTATAGATTTGGAACAGCGGTTTGCAGAGGGGCATAGTTCTGAAGACAAAAGTTGGGACGAACTGGGGGTGGGGGAATGAACAGCAAAGTGAAGAAGAACTGGAAGGGAGAGAGCTAACAGACACTCTCTCTTGCTGGAAAGTGTCCAGCCTATCAGTCCGAGGTCACGGAGAGCAAATTAGGTGGCTAGCACGGTGGTTGCGAGATCAGGTTGCAAGGCACGGAAGTGACTAGGGGGGAAGTGGGTGGAAACCTTAATTGGGGACACCATCATTCCGAGAGTGGCTGCTTTGTTCTTTTGCTGTGATAACTAAAGACTCTTTAAATGGTAAGCGACTCTTTTCGCTTTGTCCTGCTTATCTATGGCCAAGGGGGGGGGGAGGAAGCCGAGTCCCCGAAGGCTGACACTTGTTGTTGTTGTTTAGTCGTTTAGTCGTGTCCGACTCTTTGTGACCCCATGGACCAGAGCATGCCAGGCACTTCTGTCTTCCACTACCTCCCACAGTTTGGTCAAACTCATGCTGGTAGCTTCGAGAACACTGTCCAACCATCTCGTCCTCTGTCGTCCCCTTCTCCTTGTGCCCTCCATCTTTCCCAACATCAGGGAGGCTTATCTTCTCATGAGGTGGCCAAAGTACTGGAGCCTCAGCTTCAGGATCTGTCCTTCCAGTGAGCACTCAGGGCTGATTTCCTTCAGAATGGATAGGTTTGATCTTCTTGCAGTCCATGGGACTCTCGAGTCTCCTCCAGCACCATAATTCAAAAGCATCAATTCTTCAGCGATCATCCAGCCTGACACTATATGAAACAAATTGAAACTGAGCAAGGTTTCTACTGGGCATGTGCGTGCTACAGGCCAGCATTACAATTACAGTGGTACCTCGGGTTACATATGCTTCAGGTTACATATGCTTCAGGTTACAGACGCTTCAGGTTACAGACACTTCAGGTTACAGATTCCGCTAACCCAGAAATAGTACCTCGGGTTAAGAACTTTGCTTCAGGATGAGAACAGAAATTGCGTGGTGGTGGCACGGCAGCAGCAGGAGGCCCAATTGCTAAAGTGGCGCTTCAGGTTAAGAACAGTTTCAGGTTAAGAACGGACCTCCGGAACGAATTAAGTACGTAACCAGATGTACCACTGTATATTTATAAATAAATAAATAAAGACATTCTTATTTAACCTTGCCTTTTATCTATTAGGAAAATGCCCGCCTTCATTCCCAGTACATTTCCGAGCTCAATTCAAAGTGTTGTTGCTGACCTTTAAAGCCCTAAACGGCCTCGGCCCGGTATACCTGAAGGAGCATCTCCACCCTGATCGTTCTGCCCAGGCACTGAGGTCCTCTTCCAATGGTCTTCTGGCGGTTCCCTCACTGCGAGATGTGAGGTTACAGGGAACCAGGCAGATAGACTTCTCGGTGGTGGCGCCCGCCCTGTGGACATCCCATCAGATGTCAAAGGAATAAACAACTATCTGGCGTTTAGAAGACATCTGAAGGCAGCCCTGTTTAGGGAAGTTTTTAATGACTGATGTTTTAATATATATTTAATCTTTTGTTAAAGGGGAAACCCAGCCAGATGGGCGGGGTATAAATAATAAATTATTATTATTTCATTGATTTAAGTTTCTGTCCCGCCCCTTCCTCCGGGAATCACTGGGCGGTTTACAATCGCTGTTTTTCAAACTGTTGGAAGGTTGCAGTGCCTGCTGTGGCAATGTAAAAACTCAGCCATATTCTGGGATGTGACAGATAGATAGATAGATAGATAGATAGACAGACACAATTGTGCATTTGAGTTACTGCATGTCAGGGATTCTAAAATCCCTGCTTCTCTCAACTATGTGAAGTTAGGCATGAGCGGGGAAACCTTTTTTTGTCGTTTCTACTGCTAAACAGTTGGGAGTAAAAAGAAGAAACAAACAAATTATTGCCCATTCCTACAAATCATCCAGAGATGTACCAGTAGACCCCTCCATGCATTCTGCCTACCTCCACTCTAGAGAGATGTCACGCATTCCCTGTGATCTTATGTGATTAATAGCCTCGTAAGCTTTGCCCAGCACTGTGTCCTGGGTTACCTCAATCCTTTAGAAAGAGGAGGCATGGAAAACTTAACACCAGCCTCCCCATTTTTGCCAAACGGGTGAATTTGGTTTCCATGGCAGCAGAGACAGGCAGATTTTGACTTTAAGGGCATTGACAGATGAAAGCATTCCGCTTCAGCAGACAAGGCTCCCCAAGTCTTGAGAGCGACACATTCAATTCCTTTCAGTCCTGTCATGGCTAAAATGGCTGCTGTTTCTTTAATGTGAATAAAGCTGGGTCAGCATGACTCAGCGGCTTGCAGCAAGTTGTATATATAAGTGAGAAATGTTAGTTTGTTGCCGAGGCTGAGGCTGGTGTTTGGGTTGGTTGGTTGGTGCTGGTGTGTATAGTTACTCAGTCGTGTTTTGCGCAAAGACTTTTAAGAATAAAACTCTGCAAGGATATTCTCGTGGACTCTTTTTGTGCCGACAAGGAGACTGAGGAGACAAAGGGAGGTCAGAACCCTTTCCTTCTTTTTTGCTTTTTACAAACACTGACCGGTTATGGGCCCAGTGTTTCTGAGCATGTGCAGAGTGCAGAACGACTGACAGCATCTCAGCAGGGAGCTGGTGAGTCCTGGTGGTGCCTGGAGCCAGTGGCTGTGCGTTGGAGCAGTTGGTGGCAAGCTGTAACTGTCTGCAGCGATGCTGGAGCGGCTAGGATCTGAGGATCAAGAAAGCACTCAGCGTCGGCTACTGGAACAGTTTGAACTGCTGGAGGACCACAGTAGGTGACTCACAGAGCGGCTACACCAGTTGCAGAGCCAGGCGGGACCTGAGGGTCAACAGAGGCAGCTGCTAGAAGCCGGTGAGTGCCAGCCAGGACCATCCAGTGGGACTCTAAAGAGAGAGTCAGGAGAGATTGCTGGAGGCCCTACAGAAGGGGCTCAGCAAGCACCAGCAGAGATGGCAGATTTCCAGTCTTCCCAAGTTGTAAATATTGGGGGAGGCATCCCTTTTGAACTTCTCTCAGAAAGCAACTGGCTGAGTTGGTCAATTAAAATGCAGCAGTTGTTAAGGAGAGATGGACTATGGGACTGTGTTGAAACTGAGGTTTTGAGGACTGAGAAAAAACGGCTAGATGAAAGGGCTCGTGCCCAAATTATGCTGTGTTTGAGCAACTCTCAGTTATTGCATGTAGCAAATGCCAGCACAGCGTTTGAGTGCTGGAATTTATTAAGGGCAATGCATGTCAGAGAAACTGCTGGAATTATAATTTCTCTGACCAGAAGGCTGTTCAGGACTGTTATGAAAGAAGGTGAGAGTTTGGCAACTCATCTTCAAATGCTGAAATCTCTGTTTCTTCAACTACAGCAGAGAGGTAAGCGTTATGATGAGACTGACCAAACCTACATTATCCTTTCAAGTTTGCCTGAAAGCTGGTTGCCCGTGATTAACAGCATGGAGAGTGTGCGTCCCCGAGATCTGACCCTTGAGTATGTGGTTGGAAGATTGACCGAAGAAGCAGAAAGAAGGTCAGATAGACAGGCTGAACTCCAAGAGCGGAGGAGTTACAGCCGAGAGGGCCAGCAGCAGAATCTGCCAATGGAGCAACGCCAAGGTTTGGACCTGGCCATGGCAGTGAGGAGATGCTATAGATGCAACCAACCCGGGCACCTCCAACGTCAATGCAGGGCAAGACTTCCAGGAGACGACGTGGAGCAGAGACAGCAATCGACGCAGAAACGTAAGCAGAAGGGGTTCTCTTCAGAGAAGAAGAACACGCGTTCTGCTCAGTTTGTGTCTGCATTTTCTCGAGAGGAGAGGAAGATACCTCGAGGAACATGGTTGCTAGATTCTGGGAGCAGCAGGATTATCTGCAACCGTCGGGAGGACTTTAAGACCCTGGGGAAGCCAGCTGATGGAAAAGACTCAATCTATCTTGCTGATGGTCGTAGAAGCAAGATTGATGGCCAGGGAACATGTTTCCTGCAGTGCTTGAACACTACTCTACCAGAGACTCTGTTTGTCAGCAGTTTGGACTATTGTTTACTGTCTGTAAGCTGTTTGATTAATGCAGGGTATAGTGTTAAGTTCACGCAGGATGGCTGTCTGATAAAGAATGGAACTCAGGTATGTGGCCATGCAAAGTTGGAAAATGGGTTATATGTAATGCAGGACAAGCCTGTTAAAGCAGCCCAGGTGGTTCAGGATAATTTGCCAGTTCATAAGGGGTGTGTACATGAGCTGCACAGAAAACTGGGTCACGCCAATTTCCGTGTGCTTTCAGAGATGCAAAAGGTGTGCAAGAACCTAAAAGTAAATAGCTGTAACTGTTTCCTAGATTGCAATGTATGTAAAATGGCCAAATCTAAGAGGAAGCCTGTGGCTTCTAAAAGTGACAGAGTATCTAAAGAGGTTTTAGAACTTGTCCATTGTGATGTGATAGGCCCTTTCCCACAGAAGACTGAAGGGGGCGCCAGATATGCTTTTCTGGTAATTGATGATAAATCACGTTTTAGTTGGTTGTTTTTGTTAAAGCAGAAATCTGAGTGTTTCCCCACATTCAGAGAATGGGTTGCCCAAGCTGAAAAGCTCTTCGCTCGCCCTGTTGTGCAGTTGCAAACAGATAGGGGCGGAGAATTTCTGAACAAACAATTTGGGGCATGGTTGCGACGTAAGGGGATCACTCATCGCTTGGCTAACCCTTATAGCCCTGCTGAAAATGGTCTGTGTGAAAGACGTGGGGCTGTAATACAGTCAGTAAAGGACTGCCTGCTAGTGGATGCAGGATTGGGTCACAACCATAGGCTGTGGGGTGAGGCTTTTCTGACAGCGAACTTTTTGATTAATAGAACCTGGTCTAGCTCTATAAAAGATATTCCATATCGTGTGTTGTTTGGGAAAGAACCAGAGTGGACAATGCTCCATAACTGGGGTGCTTGGGCACATGTAAATATCCCCAAAGCTCAGCGCCAGAAAGGGGGCGCTAGAGCGCAGAAACTGTGGTTTGTGGGATATCAGTCCTATGGCAAAGGGTGGCGTTTCAATTTACGCCCAGGACGCGTGGTTCTGTCACGAAGTGCAGACTTTGCTGACCAGGACAGATGGACTGCGATCCATGCCAACCCAGATTGCCTACTGCCCCTGCAAGTAAGAGAAGAGGCTTCTTCTCAGCCATTGGCAACACAGGAGCAGGATGAGGAGGAGGCACAGATTTCCCCCAAAGATGTGGCAATAGATAATACTTCTTCTTTAGAGGAAGAGGAAGAAGAGCCAGAGATAAGGGGGGAAGAAGAAGTAGTTGTGCCTAGACGCTCCCAGCGTTCAAACAAGGGTGTACCTCTTCAGCGTTTGACCCTAGGAGGAGTGAGAGTATGCAATGTGAGTTGTGTGGAACCACAAAGTTATAATGAACTCTTAAACTTACTCCCTGGAGAACGTGCTTTGTGGGAACAAGCTATGAAAGAAGAAATGGACTCTTTTAAACGTAACAAAGTGTTTGAGGTTATAATGCCGCCACCTGGTGGCAGAGTGGTGTCATGCAAGTGGGTTTACAAAAGGAAAACCCTTGCATCTGGGGAACCACGTTTTCGAGCCAGATTAGTAGCCAGAGGGTTCACTCAGATTAAAGGGGAGAGTTATGATGAAGTGTTTTCTCCCACTGTAAAGAGTGAAACTTTTCGTTTAATGCTTTCCATTGCTGCTGTAAGACAACTAGCAGTGCACCATTTTGATGTTGATGCTGCATATCTGCATGCAAATTTAGACCATGAAGTGTTAATGAGACAACCCCCTGGGTTTGAAGAGGAGAATGGTGCAGTCTGGCGTTTGAAAAAGGCTGTTTACGGTCTCAAACAAAGTGGAAGGTGTTGGAACCAGTGTTTAAATGAAGCCCTTGTAAAACTTGGTTTTAAAAGGAGTGTGGCTGATCCATGCCTGTACACCAAGGGGACAGGCAACAAATATCTAATGCTCTTAGTCTTTGTTGATGATTTGCTTGTGGCAGGGAGTTCCACAGATGAGATCCAGAAGCTCACAAGTCAACTGGAAAAGAGGTTTAAGCTTAAAGCCTTAGGGCCTGTAAGCAATTACTTGGGAGTAGAAGTAAGGCAGGAAGCAGATGGAAGCTTCCTATTGAGCCAGAAAGAGAAAATTCTTCATTTGATAGAGCAGTTTGGCATGGAAAACTGCAAGCCAGTTCAGACTCCCATGACACCAGATTTCCCAAAGACAGTGTGTGATGATGAATTTGATCAGCCTGAGTTGTATCACTCAAAAATAGGATCACTGTTGTATTTAAGCCAGTGGTCAAGGCCAGACATTGCATGTGCTACAAATGTTCTGAGTCAACGTGTATCTAAACCCAGTACTGCCGATTGGTGTGCTTTGAAAAGGCTTATCAGATATCTAAAGGGGACATTAAATGTATGTTTGAAGATATCTAGTACACAAGATGAAAAACTAGAAGTGTTTGTTGATGCGGACTGGGGAAGCTGTGTAGCTACCAGAAAATCTACAAGTGGAATGGTTATGATGTTTGCCAATTCCATAATTGGATGGAGGTCAAAGAAACAAGGATTTGTTGCGACCTCATCCTGTGAGGCAGAATATGGGAGCCTGTCACTAGCATGCAATGAAATCATGTGGTTTATACAGATACTAAAAGATCTAGATTGTAAAGTAGATTTGCCTATCCAAGTGTATGAAGATAGCCAATCATGCATTGCATTAGCGGGCTCGGAAATAATGAAATCTGCATCAAAACATATCGCTATCCGTCATGCGAATGTGAGAGATTGTGTACAGAATGGGGTGATCAAACTGGAGTATTGTCAGTCACAAGACAATATTGCTGATTTGTTTACCAAGCCTTTGCCAGCAACATGCCATAATGAATTGATCACAAAACTGGGTTTATGTATATAGTGTATGTATGTATTGTTTCTGTTGGGGTTTTTCGCATTTAAGAAACAGAAGGGGTGTCACGGCTAAAATGGCCGCTGTTTCTTTAATGTGAATAAAGCTGGGTCAGCATGACTCAGTGGCTTGCAGCAAGTTGTATATATAAGTGAGAAATGTTAGTTTGTTGCTGAGGCTGAGGCTGGTGTTTGGGTTGGTTGGTTGGTTGGTGCTGGTGTGTATAGTTATTCAGTCGTGTTTTGCACAAAGACTTTTAAGAATAAAACTCTGCAAGGATATTCTCGTGGACTCTTTTTGTGCCGACAAGGAGACTGAGGAGACAAAGGGAGGTCAGAACCCTTTCCTTCTTTTTTGCTTTTTACAAACACTGACAAGTCCATGGTTCTCGTGACATGAAGTGGATCACCCTTCGTGGTAATTTCTAGGGAAGACTTGAGCTCTTCCCCGGAAAGTTTTAGTCTGAATAGGGAGTGCTTAGTTATAACCACCTGGGAGTAATTTTGTGACACAGCCTATTGTCTTAAGTCAGGGACAGCCAACATGGTGCCCATGAGACACTGTTGGACTCCAACTCCCATCAGTTGCAGCTAGCATGGCAAACTGTGTCTCTCGTGTTTGCAGGGTTAAGAACAAGACTGAAAACTGCCTAATAACATTTACCATGAATGTTCCATGCTGTGTGCTAATTACAGGTAGGTAGCCGTGTTGGTCTGCCGTAGTCGAAACAAAATTTAAAAAATCCTTCCAGTAGCACCTTAGAGACCAACTACGTTTGTTATTGGTATGAGCTTTTGTGTGCATGCACACTTCTACAGATACACTGAAACAGAAGTCACCAGACCCTTATATATAGTGAGAGGGTGGGGAGGGGTATTACTCAGAAGGATGCTGGTAATGAGTGACTGGCTGATAGGTGTGGTAAACCTGTTGACGACTGTTAATGACTGCAACAGTCTTACAGAAAAAAAGCAAGGGATGAGATGGCTAAAAATAGCTTTATCATGTATAATGAGATAAGAATCCAATGTCTCTGTTTAGACCAGGTCTCTTCATGCTTTTAAGCAGGGGTCAGCAAACTTTTTCAGCAGGGGGCCGGTCCACTGTCCCTCAGACCTTGTGGGGGGCCGGACTATATTTTGAAAAAAATAATAATAAACAAATTCCTATGCCCTACAAATAACACAGAGATGCATTCTAAATAAAAGGACACATTCTACGCATGTAAAAACACTCTGATTCCCAGACTGTCCGGGGGCCGGACTGAGAAGGTGATTGGACCGGATCCGGCCCCCGGGCCTTAGTTTGCCTACCCATGGTTTTAAGTTTGGTAATAAGTTGCAATTAAGCAACTTCTCTTTCCAGTCTATTCCTGTGTGCGGAAAGTTTATTTGAACAATAGGTAGTTACTACAATCTGCTCAGACTCATGGTTCATGGTTTGTAATCAATCACTGACTTTGTCTGCATTGCCTTCGTATGCGGTGTGTTTGGGGGAATCAGAGCTCAGAAGTAAACCACCAATCCACAGGACAGAAGATACTAATAATAGGGTTTCTCTGGAGTAAACTGGATGCAAATTTCTCACTTAGCCGGTGCTGAAAATCAGCGTAATGGAAGCAAAGAAGGAGAGAGCATTGATTTTTTGATGAAATATTGTGGTGCATATATACCCCAAAGGCTTTGCATTAAGACTAGGCAGAATCCTGACATTTCCTAACCTTTTGGTGCCCCTTGTTGAATTTTAATAACATGCTTTTTAATTTTGTCCGCTTTCTGGTTGAGACTTAATGTGTTGACCCTGCCAGACCTTTCCGACTACAGTGATGATAATGTATTTGTGTGTGTTTATATGCTATATCAGTGTCTGCAGAGAGGGCTTTATGAAATCCATAACAACCCACTATATAAAATACGCATTGATTGAGATCCAGCGCCATTAAAATCAGCAGGAATTTTGCCATGGACTTTAATAATGTTGCAGGCCAGCCCAGTCTCCAAGCAATGGGAGGTCCCAGGGGTTTCTGCCACACTTACTTGGGGTCCATGTTTTCTTTTGGAAATGAGGCACAGTGGAAATTGTGGCATCTTTCATGACATATGATTTATTTGCACATACCATATTTTCCATCTATTTTTGTTGTTGTTTAGTCGTTTAGTCGTGTCCAACTCTTCGTGACCCCATGGACCAGAGCACGCCAGGCACTCCTGTCTTCCACGGCCTCCTGCAGTTTGGTCAAACTCATGCTGGTAGCTTCGAGAACACGGTCCAACCATCTCATCCTCTGTTGTCCCCTTCTCCTTGTGCCCTCCATCTTTCCCAACATCAGGGTCTTTTCCAGGGAGTCTTCTCTTCTCATGAGGTGGCCAAAGTATTGGAGCCTCAGCTTCAGGATCTGTCCTTCCAGTGAGCACTCAGGGCTGATTTCCTTCAGAATGGATCGGTTTGATCTTCTTGCAGTCCATGGGACTCTCAAGAGTCTCCTCCAGCACCATAATTCAAAAGCATCCATTCTTCGGCAATCAGCCTTCTTTATGGTCCAGCTCTCACTTCCATACATCACTACTGGGAAAACCATAGCTTTAACTATACGGACCTTTGTTGGCAAGGTGATGTAGACGCCCCTATATATAAGACTCCCCCCTATTTTGGGGGATTCAGTACTAAGAAAATGAGAGGAGATGGCCCAAAGTTGTTGAGCCTTTCCCTCCATGCAGCTGAAGGCAGGATACACTCCCTAGATCGGTTCCCGGTTGGCCAGAGGGCACCTTCCCCCCTGCTGCTGCACACAGGAAACGATCCAGGGAGTGCTTCCCACGCACAGCGGCATCAGGGAAAGCTGCACGCCGCCAGCCAGTGCCCCCAGATCTCTCCCCATGTGCAGCAACATCTCCTCCCCCATGCCACTACCCAGTTTTTTGACATTTTTGTGTCAAAAAACCATCTAATACACGGGAAAATATGGAATATACAACCTGAGCCTACGACGAAGGGGTTCACAGCATAAACATTCAAGAGGGCCTTGCTTCGTCCATAGGTACAGCCCTGAATCCAAATTGTCATCAGCCACTCTGCTCCGCCTGCTGCTTTGCGTCTCAGTCACAGAACTCTCTAACCTCTGATTTTATCTTCTAACGAACTCTGGGTTAAGAGAGGAGCCCTTCCCATTTGCCATCTGGCACAGAGCCCCCTCTCTTTGGCTTACCTTATGTCCTGTCATCTTCCTTTAGTTCCCCTAATGGCCCATCACCCCAGGCAATTTCCTGGGCACCGGAATCTTAACCTAGCTTAGTTATAGCTATAACATTCAAATGGAAGCATGGGAGAGGCTCTGGAGGGAAGATTTTAAATTTACGTCATGTTACGATCTAAAAGAAAACTGTATGAAAATGCTTTACAGGAGGTATTTGTTAAATTAGCCAAAATGTTTAGATCTAGGCCAAACACCTGTTGGAAATGCAGGGAGGCGGGAGGCACATTAATGCACATGTGGTGGAACTGTAAAAAGATCAGAGAGTTTTGGAAAATGATCTGTAATGAACTTAAGAAAATGTTTAAACACTTTCCCTAAAAAGCCCGAAGCCTTCCTGCTAGGAATTATGGGTAACGGAATTCCAAAGAAGTTCAGGAGAGTTTTCATGTACTCCACAGTAGCTGCCAGAATTCTAATTGCAAAAAGCTGGAAGGGGGAAGTTATCCCATCCAAATCAGACTGGCAAAATAAATTGAGAGAGTATGCTGAACTAGTGAGAATATCAGCAAGTTTACGAGACGTTACAGATGAAAAAATTATTAGAGAATGGGACATATATAGAGCTTACCTGAAAGAAAATTGCCAAAATATCAATCCGTTGGTAGGTCTTGATTGAGTTTCTGCATGTAATAGGACAACTTTATAAATTTAAAGCAATCAGATTAATGTAGAGAAGATAAAGTTAAGTGTGTAACTAAAGAATGTGGTTTGGGAACACAATGGGGAGATTGGAGGTCATGCCAGATTTAATCACAAATTGATGTACACAATAAGTAACAATTTCGAAATGAATGTTTGTTTATTTTTACATTGTCTTTAACATCTATTGACTATTCACGTTATACAGTTTTAAAAACAATAAAGCAGTTTAAAAAACCAAAACAAAACCTAGCTTAATTAGCTGCTAACATTTGCTGATTTCAAGGGATTCAAAGTATCTAGCACACAGCTTGATGCACACAGGTCTGGCTTGAAACACATGGGTCTAGCACCCAGTTTTAACACGCCAAGCATTGATTAAATTCTAACACCTACTGGAGCCAGGAATTTACAGGAGTCTGGAACTCACAAATGCATAAGATGTGGACTGTCCCCCATTTTGAAACTGCTGTATTATGGAGTCGGTCAATTAGTCCATCAAGTCCAGTATCCTCTGCTCTTGACGGGCAGCAGCTGGTTCCTCCCACCATTCCTCTGTGTCCAATGACAAAGAAGGGGTTAAATGCCACAACCACATAAGATCAGGCCATTGAAATTACCTAACCTGGGGAGAAAACAGTAAAGACCTTATGAAGAGAGCACAGCAGAGGTTATATTTTCTGAGAATCCTCCGGAAAAATAATCTCTCAAAGGAGCTGTTGATGGCAGTTTACCATTGTACTGTGGAGAGTGTATTAACTTATGATCTGTGTGTGTGGTTTGGAAGCTGCACAGTCAGGGAAAAAGCAGTGCTGTCCAGGGTTGTAAAGACTGCGGAGAGAATAATTGGGTGCACTCTTCCCACCTTGGATCAAATCTACGCTTCCAGGTGTCATAAGAAAGCTGCAGAGATAGCGCAGTATAGTGTGCACCCAGGAAATGATCTCTTTCAGCTTCTGCCTTCTGGAAGAAGGTACAGGGTTATAAAGACTAGGACTAGCTGCCTTAGAAACAGTTTCTAGCCAAATGCGATTTTGGTTTTAAACGCAGTGTAAGGTAGTCTTCGTGGGAGTATATTGTATTTAATTATGGGGTATCAGAGTTTTTAGGGGGTTAACCAGGCTGGGATAGCAGGCTTGTTGGTTTTTGAATGTCTTATGTAGATTTTTTCAATTTCATTGTTCTGTATGGGACAATGACAATAAAGATGATCGTATCATATGCAAGGAAAAGAACCAGAACATCCTGCATATAGAGAGCTCAGTTCTCCAAGTGCTGGTCCTCATGCAGACAAAACAGCAACATCCACACAGAAGAGGCACACTGGGGTAGAAGTACCACCCAAGGGGGGGGGAATTCTGAAGGGACTGGGCCCCCCAAATGGCTCAATGAAGACTGTTGAGGGAGGAGGGGAATGAAGTATTTATTTGTTCTGTTTCACAGGATTTCTAAACTGTTTAGTTATTTTAAAAAATCTCTAAATGGTATGTAAAGCACAACATAAGAACAATAAAATAAAAACAGCTAAATCATGAAAGCCAGGAAAACAGTTTTACAGGTAGTATTACGATAGATGTAGACAGGAATTTATTACTAATAGGATCTAGTTTATGGGTTGAGGAAAACTAGGGGGGGAAATATGCGTCTTTACAAGATTGCTGAAGAGGCTGAAGAAGGAACGCTTCACAAAGAGAGGAGGGAATGCCACAGGGCTGGTGCAATGATGAAAAAATGCGAGGAGTAAAATTTCCCCAGATGACCCAAGTGATCTTTAGGCATGCGGAAGAAATTTGCTTTCGTTGAAAGGAGAACCTGCTAAATTAACATGAAATAGCTTGCAGAAATGTGTATAATAGTCAAAAATTGCATAAAGATAAGTAAAAATACTATATGCACTAAAATAATGCAAATTTTAAAATGAGGATTCTTTTCTTTTTTTAAAGAAAAATCACAAATTGATGCAGAAATGTGGAGAACTAGATTTAACAGTGGGATAAAGGGTGAGAAACTTGGAAAAACTGAAATGGGCAGTGAAATATACTCGGAGTCGAGTGTGAATTTCATGCTCTTTATTCAGCTCATACTAGCAATGAATGAAACTTCCCACAAAACATCTAGCTATATATACATTATTTACACAATGGGCCTCGCGTGATTGGCTAATTCTGGGCTGCTCCTGTAGGCCAATCAGGCTGCAGATTCACTGGATTGGGTGGCTCCTGCGGACCAATCAGACTGCTGCATTCTGGATCCTATTATTCTAGGATTCAGCTCAGTACATAACAGGCAGATACTGATTTTACAGGTCTATACAGGGATAGGAGGTCTTTCGAACCGTTATAGGGAACCCGTGAAATACAGAAGCAGAGTGACTATTATCCAGGAAATCTTGCAGTGCTCTAACCGGTCTGCCCTTTACTTTCTCCTTGCAGGAAGGCCTGGCTGACCAACGTCGGAAGCCCAAGCTCACGCATCGACCGGACTAATTTTGCTAATGAGAAAGAGATCACTAAACTTGAGTTCACGGGCTTTAGCACAAGATACTAGCCAAACAGTATAACACCAAGCTTATTGTACTGCTTATAGTAATTAATCAATTGAAATTATTGTTGATGTTATCATTATATTATTTACTTAATTGAAACACTATAATAATATTAATTATAATATTGATTGATTATTATTATATTGTTAGGTTTCTGCTTTTGCATGATAATGTTTCACGCTTCTCTGAAGTGCACAATCCCACTTTTTGGAACCTTCCTGAATGTTAGCAATTCTCCTGTTTGCATTCAGTAGGAACTGCTGTGCGCTGTAATTTTAGAGAGACATTTTTTTGAAAAATGACGTCTTTACAACCACTGGCTCCCCCAAGCTGAAGCTGTCCCTACAGATTTCAAAAAGGCAAATAGGAGCCTCTCTCGAGGCAAGTTCTTAGCAAGCCCAACTAAGAGTGTGATTGCATTTAACAGTGGCTGTTTCCTCCTTCTAAAGAACAGCCGGGTTGGGTTGGGAAATGAAGTTGTGATGGAAGTGTCCCTCCTGAGGCTAATAGCAGTTTGGGGGGTGTGATTTTCGCTGGGAATACGGCAATGCGAGAAGGGTTGACACACCAGGCTCCCAATCCTGATCACGCCACCACCCATGGCTGCTATTGGAAGAAAACACGGCACATTAATGCATTTAACATCTCATCCAGACTGACCCACAGCCCAACTCATAACAAAGCATTAAGCACACTGGTTCCAATAGGATAACTGCATCAGATTTTGCCCTTGGCAGTTATTGCTGTGTTTATTTACAGAACAACCCTACCCATCTTTACTTGGAAGTAAGTACCACTGCATCCAGTGCGGCTTACTCCCGGGTAAGTGCTGAGTTCTTCCCTATAGGGTTCCTCAGCTGTATCTGGTTGGCTTCACATCACAGAAACTACAACGCCTTCTCTGTCTCTCTCTCCCTCTCTGGCCTATCTTTCAATATGTTTACCTTGCATTCTGATCCAAGTGACTTAGACAATGTTAAAACAATATGAAAACTACCCAATGTCCTTAGTTCTCTTGTTTGAATGACTACTCCTTTGCAGCAGTAGCTGCAGGCCGTTTAGCAACAAGAACACAGTTCTTTCTAGGAAGGAAAGTGGCAATAGCCAATCAGAACTGCAAACTGCAAAACATGCTTTGCTCTTCTTCGCGAACCTTCATTGCTTGAATCCAGGGTTCATCCATCTATAACAGGAAAAACCCAAAACTGTTCACAATTGCCTGATGGAAATGTGGAAAATGAATTAAATAAAAAGAAAATAAAAAATGTGTTTCAGTCTTATCTCTGTTTTAAAGGTAAAGGGACCCCGACTGTTAAGTCCAGTTGTGAACGACTCTGGGATTGCGGCACTCATCTCGCTTTATTGGCCGAGGGAGCCGGCGTTTGTCTGCAGACAGCTTCCGGGTCATGTGGCCAGCATGACTAAGCCGCTTCTGGCGAACCAGAGCAGCGCACGAAAATGCTGTTTACCTTCCCGCCAGAGTGGTACCTATTTATCTACTTGCACTTTGACGTGCTTTCGAACTGCTAGGTTGGCAGGAGCTCACCCCGTTGCAGGGATTCAAACCGTGACCTTCTGATTGGCAAGCCCTAGAATCTGTGGTTTAGACCTCATGCAAATTCCTTACTAACCCTAGCAATGTGCTGAACATGCCATGTGAAAATTATGAACAGAAATTTTGATGGTTGTTTTGCACTTGTATCAATAAGCACTCATGATAACATGAAGGAGATTTTGATGCACCATTGTCAAACTGGTGTGACTGGAAGATGCTGCTCATTGAGATCTCCACTGTCCTTTGTGACACTGGGATGTAGCAAGAATGCAAGGACATTGGCTCTTGGGTCTCCTCCAGATGACCCGTTTATGGAGAATTTGTTCTTATTTGCCTGCGCAAAACTACCAGGGAGGTTAGACTCCTTCCAGTCTTTATGGAACATTCAGGGTGGTTGTATGATAATGAACATTTGCCCTGCATTCATCTTTCTTTGCTTGCAGGGTCTTCATACATCTTTTCTCTAATCATCCACTCTTTCTGTACTTTTCTGATGCATTCCCCAACTGCAAAATGTCCCTTTCTTTTTTAAAGTGGATTTGTTGGGTTAGGTTGGTAGAACTATTTCATCCATTTTAATTGCACAAACTTAAAGTTCCAGGACGTGCTTGAATTCTTCCTACAAAACAGCAGCAGTCCGGAGGCATCTTCTCATGTAGAACCAAAGGAGTCATTCTCCAGCACTGTTTTACTGATGTCATTCGTAAAGCATGAATTCAATTTTTTTTAAATAACTAAGAAATGGTCTGCCATGGCGGAACAGCCTGTGTGTGGAGAGCACTGTTCCTTCTGACTATTGGATTTATTTTCATTGGGTCTTTTGTCCATGCCTAGCCCTGTGGATTTCCTTCAAGTTCTTGCCTGGGTTGCTAATAAGTTGTTATCGTTCCAGATACACACAGCTTTTGTGATCACCCACAAGCATCCTTTGTTGAGTTCCTAGAGGGTGACCCTTGTTAAAACGAAATGCAAAATGGCAAAGATCAAGTGTAGGTCTTGTTCAATAGCCGGAATATCCTTCGGCTGGAGACTGTGATCCAGAGCCAAAACGATGGTGATGTTGAGTTAGAGGGCACACACACACACACACACACACATGGCTCAACGTATTATTTCCACAATTCATTATCACTGTGTTGTGGTGTAAGGCACGGGGTGGACAGACTATAGGCATCGTGGATCTACTTTGTTTTTTTACTAGAACCTCAAGACCTACCAACCAGGTGCAGAAGACATACAGTGGAAGAATGTGGTGCCTCGGACCACATCGTGAGCCGAGGAATTTGTTTTCAGTACTAGAACCAAAGCCAGTTCTGTCCCACAAAAAGGCTACTCCTGCTTAGCTTGCTTCATGTCCTCAGTCTAATTTAGGTGGGGAAAGTAGATTGGTTGTTGCTATTGTTAAACAATTGGGAGTTACAAGCTGCAAATTTACTACAAGGTCCACTGCAAATCACCCAGAGACCTAGAGATCTACTAGTACAGTGGTATCTCGGGTTACAGATGCTTCAGGTTACGTGATTTCGGGTTGTGCACTGTCTTCTTATGAGATACCGGAACGGGTTACTTCCAGGTTTTGGCACTCACGCATGCGCAAAAGCGCTAAATCGTGCTTTGCGCATGTGCAGAAGCGCCGAATCGCAACCTGCGCATGCGCAGACGTGACACTGCAGGTTGTGAACATGCCTCCCGCACAGATCACGTTCGCAACCCGAGGTTCCACTCTATATCCTGATATCATAGAATTGGAGAGTTGGAAGATACCGTGAAAGCCATCTAGTCCAACCCCCTGAAATGCAGGAATCTTTCACCCAACATGGGGCTCAAACCCACAACCCTGAGATGAAGAGTTTCATGCTCTACCATCTGAGCTACCCCACCTTCCCCATTCCTGCTGTGTGGGATAAAAAGATGAAGGACCTGTCTAAACTGAGTTCTACAGGAGTCTCTTAGGCATGAAGGCCGAACAGCTAATATACATGTGTTGAGTAAGCTCTTCCATGGATCTCTCTTTTTTGCTACCATTGGTAGTACTCAAAGCCCTTCTCATCCCTGTGCAAAGATTCCAGTGCACATACAAGCAGAATAATCAGATTGTCTACCAAATGCTCAGGAAGGGCTGGGAAATACAGCCAGATGATCAGCAGAGGACTGCAAGCATTAGATGTGTCGAAGCATGGGATCAAGGAATTGAGTAAGCAAGAGTAGAGGAAATCAGCACATCAGCCACCAGGGGAGAGTAATATAAGGGCAGGCACTGAGAGAGATGGAATTGGAGGGTTATATCCTGGCTTTGGATGAAGAGATACATGAAATATGTGGGTGCTCTGCATCCAGCAGTCCAAGGCATGAGGCTCTTTTCTCTAACCTGTTGCCCTCCAGAAGTTGTTGGACCACAAGTTGTTGTTCCCTGACCATAGGCCATGCTAGCCGGGGCTGATGGGACTGAAGTCCAACAAACAGGAAGATATATAAATTGAAATCCAACCTCTGTGTGGTGGAGAGATAGGAACAACAATACATATGTGGTGGAGGTGTGAGGAAATTAAGAAATTTGGATAGTAGTACACGAAGAACTAAAGAAGATGTTGAAAATATCAATAACAAAGAAACAAGAGACATATCACCTTGGATTGATAGATGATGAGATACCATGGGGGGGAAAGAACTTTCCTATATGCAAGTACAGTTGCTGGAATAGTGATTTGTGCTAGGTGGAAGTCACAAACTATACCCACAAAAGAGGAATGGATTTGTAAACTAAATGAATATTTAATTTTGGCAAAAGTGAACTGCTATAAGAAGAAATCAGTTGAATCAAAAATTTAAAAAGGAGTGGAAATGTTTTGATGAAGATATGGCAAAATATTGCTCAAAAAAAGATATGCTAATATGCCTAGATTAAAATGTGAAGTACTGGTTGGAAGAAAAATTAGTAAGGAAAGATAATAAGAATATATGGATGATTTGAGAAGACTGTAGAATGCAAGGATTATTGTAAATTGTATAATGTGGAGGAAATCGAGTGGGGGCAGAGGGAAGTGGGAAGAGGGAGAAAAAAATAATATGATGGATTGAGAATATATAAATGTAAATGTATGGGGGGATGGGGAGGAAATGGTGTTGGCTTCGGTACATTTGTATTGTAATGTAATATATGAAAACCAATAAATAAATAAAAAAGAAAGAAAAAAAGAAAAAAGGAAGATACCAGGCTGGCGAGGAGTAGAAAATGGCACCAGGAAAGGAAACACAAATTTCATTCGTTCATTCATTCATTTATATACTGCCCTTTGTCAAAAGATTCCAGGGCAATGAACCACATTGAAAAACATGACAGAATGATAAAAACATAATAAAAATATAGTAAAAAGCATACTGACACACAGCCTAATCATAAAATAATAATCCTCATGACAGTCTCCTCCCCACACTTTTACAGGTCATAGATTATTTGATAGACATAGGCCTGGGTAAAAAGGAATGTTTTCACCTGGCACCTGACGACATGTAGTGATGGCGCCAAGCGAGCCTCTCTGGGTATTCCACAATCGGGGAGCCACCACAGAAAAGGCTTGTTTTTGTGTTGCCACTCTCTGGACTTCTCTGGTGGGGGAGACAGACATAGAAAAGAACCTCAAACGAAAAGTGCAGGGTCTGGGACTGTTTGTATGAGGAGAGGCTTAAAGCCTTAAAGCCTCCTAGAATAGGAATGGAGACCCAGTGACTTTGCACACGCAGCGGCAAGAATACTTATTGGGAAATACTGGAAGACACAAGAATTGCCTACCCGAGAAGAATGGCAGAGGAAAGTGATGGACTATATGGAACTGGCTGAGATGACCGGCAGAATTCGAGATCAGGAAGAAGGGTTGATGGAAGAAGACTGGAAAAAATTTAAAATATATCTTCAGAAACACTGTAATATAAAAGAATGTTAGAAAAGGTTGGAGAAGAATATTAGACCGTATTGGCAGACAGGGTATAATGGAATAAGTAAATATGAAGTGTAAAATGAGGATAGAGGAGAATTAAATACTTTCGAATGTTAAAAAAAGTAAAAGAAAAGAAGGTTAGAAGGATTTGCTGGAGATACGATTTAAACTAGAATACAACAGGGAGGTCAGAGGAAGTCATGGAAATAAGTAAATGGGAAGATGGTTGTAAAGGTCTAATTTGATTTTTGTCATTTTCTATTGTGATTTTTCTCTTTTTTAATTCTTTTTTTACTGTCTGTTTTTTGTAAGATGTATGTGGGTTTTTTTTTCTTTTTTTTTTCTATATTTTTCTTGTAATTTTAAAATTGGAATAAATATTCTTAAAAAAAAAAAAGACTTTGCACACGTGATTGGATTCCAGTTCCCATCAGCCCCAGTCAGCATGACCAGGAGTGAGGGGTGTGGGAGCTGTAGTCCTGTAACACCTGGAGGACCACAGACTGCCCACCACTCTGCCGTAGAAGACCATAGCTATCAACGTTTCCCTTTTTTAAAGGGGAGAGACTCCATCAGGCAAGGTGTCCTTCCACCTCCCTTGCCCCACCCTCTGCCCCTAGGAGTCCTCATAAGGGAGCTGTTCCTGGAGGAAGAACTGTGAAGGGAGAGACTCCATCAGGCAAGGCCTCCTTCCACCTTCCTTGCTCTACCCTCTGCTTCTCAATGTGTATTGTAATGTTTTATGTACTGTGGCTTGCCGTTGTTTTATTGATTATAGT